TGACAGACTCACACACTCATAAACACACACTCACAGACACACACTCATACAAATTTACCCCAAAACTCACAAATTACTATTATTATTTTTTTATTTTAATTTAACTCCACCCAGCCTCCGTGGGAGAACTGGAGTGGATTCCTCACCTGGGGTCCAGTGGTGCTGCAGGGGCTGCTTGTGCTGCTGGACACACAGGCAGGGGGCGAACTGGCAGAGTAGGCATCGAGGGAGCTCTGATCTTCCTGCTCAGCTCCCTCGTGCGCCGCTTAGTGATGACGGGAGCCGGTCTGATGTCATAGTCCGTCTCCCGGCATCACTAAGTGGCGTGTGATGGAGCTGAGCAGTAGGAGCTCAGACTACAGCACTCCCTCGCCTCAAGCCTGCTAATCAAGCTGCCGCCTGCCTTGGGGGATGCCCAAAGGTGGCCAGCCAGCCAGCTCTTGGGCCCCCAGGACACGAGGCTAACAAGGCAGTGCCGCACAAGGCAAATGCCTTGTTAGCCTCGTGGTGAATACACCACCCTGCCAGCAACCTGTGGCCACATGCTCCCAGAGAGGTCTTGGCATGCCAGCTGTGGCACGCCTGCCATAGGTTCGCCATCACTGTCCTAGAGTCATGCAGTGGAAGAAATTACATTATGACATGCTGTTTTAACCAGTGCAGAATCTTTTTGAATAGAACTTAAAATACACTTTGAATTCTCACTTTTTAGTAAATAACTCTCTTATTGTTAACCACGGACAGATTATCCTTTTTATTACTAGGGTGTTTATTGGCCAAGCCACCAATCATTATAAAAGAGAGGTAGCCATGTTTGATCCTTATACTGGTATGTCATTGTTTGGTGCACTGCCTGAGCACTGCCGTCAGATAATACTTAGGGAACTCAGGGATGTATGTAATAAATGGATGCTAAATACACATAATCTGAAGAGTCAGTGAAGGCTGGCATGTCCTATCCAGTCTGTGGAATCTTGACATTATTTAAAATGGTTAGTAAATTGTGCAGTTAAATGAATTGCAAAAAAAAAGTTTTATTTTAACTTTATCTTTAGTTTTTCTCCTATAAAAAGAGCTTTGTTTCCCAAATTGCACATAGTAGAGACTAGGATAAAGTTTTAAAATGATTTTACTGTTTATTAACTTTTACAACTATGGAAGAGATACTACTGTATTGTAAAAAACAAATCACAGATATAGTTGTGTGTGTGTGTGTGTGTGTGTGTTAAGAAAAAGTGTATCAAAAAGGCATCACATATAAATAATGTCCTTAATGCAGTGTCCACTCATACAATCCTATGACCAAATTTATTAAACTAGTACCTCAGACTAGATCTTACAGATTTAGTTATTATTCAAATAACAAAACAACAAATCCAAAATAATAATAAAATGTGAGAAAGTTACTGCACAATTATTTATTTATTTTTTCTTTCAAAAATGTATACAAAAGTTAGTATGCAGAAAAAAAAAATCAGCTAATTATTTAAGCAAGAAGCGATTTAGTGCATAAAAGGTGTGTTGTTGCCTGGAACCTCCGTTCAATGAAAAATACAAAGAACTAGATGTGTATGACGAGCACAGCATCCCTGCTGCCTGAGGCATGGCTAGCCTTTTCTAGTCAATCCCCTAAACTAGTTTCACTGTAACTATATTGTATGTAAGTGGAATGTAAGTATTGCTCTGTGAAAATTGTAATTTATGGGCAAACAATTTTTTTATATTTTTTTAAACCGTTAAATGGACACTCTGGGATGGATTTTACCATGTGTATTTTATGATTTGTCTAGATCAGGGTGCCCAAAAGGTAGATCCCCAGATGTTTTAAAACTACAACACCCATCCATGATGCCTTATCATTCTAAAGACATGCAAAGCATTAGGGGAGTTGTAGTTCTGCAACATCTGGGGATCTATCTTTTGGACAACCCTGGTGTAGATAATGCATTAAATATTCATTAAAATTATTACATCTAAGTACACGTCTCTTGCAGAGTTGCAATACTTCCAGATAACAATTAAGTTGATGTGATATTTCAGCCAAACCTGTTTATCCCACTGCTGTCTAGGGGAAAGTAGTTGAGCATGTTCAGTGCTTTACTATTTCAAATGAATGGCAAGTAGTCTTGAATGCATAGTGCAGATGCTCACCCTTACACTCACTTGAGTCTCTTTAATGGGAGTCTTTGCACGTGAACAATTCAGTTGAACTTGGTGTTCGTTTACTTTAACAGAGATCACACACAGTTGTACTTTCCTTGAAATGTATCTTCCCTCTCTTTGTATAGCAATATGGGTTGTCTGATTTAAAATCCTATTATAATTCACTATCTGATAACTGCCTCGTCTTATGATGGTTTACACAGTATGGGGAATTATTGCATCTGTCTTCATTGAAAAGAAATTGATAATGCTTGGCTTGCAGCCTGCTTGTAGTTTTGGTGGTTGGAGTGTTCCTTTAAGTGGCAGCCTGTGTACCAGTGAAATATTGTATCAGCAGCCGATCTTTTCTGTTTGTTCCCAAAGCCATAAGGCTGCAAAGTTTAGTTGATTTTGCTATTCGGGATCCTGGTAGAGAATTATGTCTGTTTTTGATTCTGCTGTGAAATATAGACACACATTCCTGTTCATATAGTATGTATGAATACGTTGTAACATATATGACTGTCTTGTTGCAATATTAATATGTGAGTCCTATTCCCTTTGCCCCAAAAATACCTTATTTTCTCCCTCCAAATTCAGGTATACAGTACATGGGTACAAGGATCATATCCTGGTTTCAGAATAATAGCTTAAATCCCCATGAGCAGCTCTGGATGCATTTCACAATAAAATATGTCCTCTGCTGATCGGTCGGTGCTAGTGTCCAAATCTGTAAATCAGTCTGCTCTTTAGTCCAAGAGGTAGTCAGAATGCATTTATTGAAACCAAATTCCACTGCCATCAAGTCTGACTTTGCCAACCATTCAAAATGAGTTATTCCTTAACAAACACATTAAGACATATTTATGAAAGGAATAAATGCTCTAGAAATTTTAGGGCAAAGTGATTACTTGCATGGTATTTAGTTAAAAAAACATTTTATTATGGCAGAATTCTATGTGGCCTACTGAATCCTCAAACAGTTGGCTTTGTAATTAGAATATGGATGTAATTTTTATTTATTTCTAAAATATTTTACCAGTAAAGATACATTGAGATTTCTCTCGTTTTCAAGTATGTCCTGTAAAAAGAGAACTTCGTGTTTGGACATTACGAATAAGACAACTATTCTTTGCAACAGTTGGAAACAATGTGGGTCTCAATGGAATATACAAACTTAATAAAAGCTATTCCCCACAAATAAACGGATTACTTCTCACCAAAGCCTCATACCAGGTTAGCAGTAATAAAATGAATTCCAAATATTTGAGTTGGAGAGATGCGCCATCACCATTGGCTCCAGTCAATGGTTGGAACCTTGTTCTGGCTCTACAGTAGGTCATGATTGAACAGACTTTGAGTTTAAGATCCTGGAAATCTGTAGGTAATCACCCCCTGGTCATTTTCACACCTGTTGTCATCCTTTGTGCCATTTAAAATGATGAACAGAGGTGCTGGGAAGTATGCCAACAAACTCTGGCACACATTTTATTGATGGGAGGTCTTATTTTATTCAGACAATAACAGATTAAGGTATTAATTGCTGCACTTGCATAACTGTATTTGGATTAAAACTTGCTTATTTACAGAAACATTCCATGTAAGTAAATTGCTCTCTGATTTCATTCACTGATGTGAAGCCGACCAAATTGTTGAGTAACAATCAGGATTAAAGTGATTTTCTACTTTTAATCCATCATTAAGGTGCTAAGAATCCTGAAATTCATTGCTTACTGCTCTGGTATTGAAATGGTTCTCCAGGCATATATGTGTTTTTATAGCCTAGGAGAACAGTGGAGTTACTAATGTAAACTAACCATTATGCCTAGAATTCTTTATATTTAAATTTCTCACGTTCCAAGGGCCAAATGTAATAATAGTGTTAAAGGATTTAATAGGTGGTTTTAATTCCTAATTTTAGAGACATTACTGAAATCCGTACACCAGAGTGTATTTATTATGAGCAGCATTATTCGGCAGGGGCCCTTATTCCAGAGCAGTCTTGGGGTCCCGTACCAGATGTGTGACTCAACAACCTCATTCACATCAAACCCATAATGTAGGTTGTAGGGATGGTACAAGGAAACCTCTCTTGTCACCATGTAAGCAGATCCCCCATTTCCCTGTGATATTTAATACAATTAAGCAGAACACCACTAAAAGCTTAAATAGCTAAATTAAATCCTTGGCTCACCAGTCTATGCTGTACGAAGTATTCTAAGCTTTATTTGACCCCTTCCTCAGGACAGACTGAAAAAAAGATTTATATAATGTAAAAAATATACAGACTTAATATAACACACATGTTATTACGAAATCCTATATGAAATTCCAATAGTATGAGACATATATCAAATAAGGTAGCAATTTCGGCAAAAGAACTCCACTGAAATGGGTGATGGGAGGTGCAGAGCCCCGGAGCTCCAGTCACAGCGACCAATATGTGTGACAGTCGTAACTCCACTGAATAACATCCAGGATTTAAGCCACTTTTTGTTTTCTGATATACATTATATACATACTAATGTTTAAATATTCTATTCTGATTTTTATAAACTTAAATATGCAGTTGTCCTCTATATCTGCAGCTGATATTTTATATTTTAGCGCAATACTGTATTATGAACAAAGCAAGAGAGAAATCTAATATCCAAAAAAATAATATGTAATTAAAGGTTACAAAAGTCATATAAACACCAGCATGAATTGAAAACAAAGTTGTAAATGAAAGGAACATTCCATTTATATATATATATATATATATATATATATATATATATATATATATATATATATATATATATATATATATATATATATATATATATATATATAAATATATATATATATAAAAAAAAGTGATTATTGTGAAGGAGTGTCAATAAGTGTACTGGGACCACTTTCCCCTCGAATACATGTAAAATGTATGCCTAAACCAGCTCCACTTTGCCTCTGGAAGATCATCATTACTGATAATCTCCCAGCCAATTCAATGCTATAATAGCACAAAGCAGTCCAAAATCGCATACCAGTTGCAGGGAAGGAGTTAGTACTGCGACACCATCTGAGTCATTCCGGGCAGGGAAAATATAAAAGGGGCAATCAATTTATGCATTTAATTATACATTTAGGTTTTATCTAATAAGAGCTGGAAAATCTTCAGTTCTCTTGTCTGCTGCATTTGCAAGCCCTCCCCTTCTTCCTCAGTCCAGACTTTCTGTGGCTGTCCAATCACAGACTTCCCAATGCAGCTCAATGTAAAAATCTTTGCAAGGCAGGTGCTCCGGGCAATAGCAACTTCTTGAGTTTATCTGCACTGGGCTCACCAAACCAGGAAGTAGCAGAACTAGTTGTCTGATTGATAGCCAGGTTTGTGTAAACAGTCTAATTTATAAAAGTGAAAATTTCTATTGAAATACACTATTTTTGTAAAAGGAAAAAATATGACACACTCTTTACACATAAAACAAATTAAAGTGCTATAAGTGTTTGAAGGTATATATTTAAATCTCTTTTTATGTTGTTTTGAATATGTTTATTGGTGCATAGACAAAGCAGTCATCCCACGCAGGGGAGACAAATGTTTCATAAGAAGCTTTCGACATAAGCATATGCCACAGAGTGCGTTTCATATTAAGTTTTCGACATAGGCATATGCCACAGAGTGCGTTTTATATCGAATAAGAACAGTCAAAGCCTGGTAAGGCAAATAGGTTAAAGTACGTGATCATAAGTAACATAACTAAAATAAGCTTTCGACATGGGCATATGCCACTGAGTGCATTTTATATCGAATAAGAACAGTCAAAGCCTAGTAAGGCAAAAAGGTTAGAGTACGTGGCCACTAGTAACATAACTAAAATAAGTTTGCGACATAGGCATGTGCCACAGAGTGCGTTTTATATCGAATAAGAACAGTCAAGGCCTAGTAAGGCAAAAAGGTTAAAGTACGTGATCACAAGTAACATAACTAAAATAAGCTTTCGACATGGGCATATGCCACAGAGTGCGTTTTATATCGGATAAGAACAGTCATAGCCTAGTAGGGCAGAAAGGTTAAATTACGTGAACACAAGTAATATAACTAAGATTAAGCAAATATCATATTGCATATCTGTTTTAACATTAGCTAGGAGAGATCATTCTCTGCATCTTATTTTGCGGTCCGCATATGGTAGCAGTACAATGTTTAGCTAACATATACAATGCAGTAATTAGGTAGGTAAATAGGCAATACTGAAACATGAAAAACATATGGTAGCAATTAAGAACATATCAACATGCCCTTGCTGCTCAGTCAGTTGCTCATCTATTTGTACCGTCCTGCACAGTTTCGATGTCTGTCTGGAGGGAATCTCTCATGGTGCTGCTTCCACACTGCCCCTGGGGTGCCTGGTCTCCTTCCCTCACCCCCATGCCGATCACCGCTCACCGGTCTGGTCCCCCACAGTTCCGTGGGCACTCGGGAGCTTAAACTGTCCGTTGGGCCCCACCACCAAAGTCCTCCGGCCGTCCACTCCCTGCACCTCCCCGGCCCCGCTTGGGTCCCTTGAGGAGTGTGTTCCTGCGTCTCGCCCGTCGCCGGCCGCATGCTTGGAGCCGGTGACCGCCCCCCACGACCACCGGTCCGTCGAGGGGGCGGCACAGTCCTGCCCCACCGGGCTCACAGCGCCAGGGACTAGGCTTTCCGGGGACCCCTGACCCATATGCCCGGGCACACACCTCTCCCGTGGTCGAGGTCACGGCCTGGTGGATCCGTCCGGCACCTGGCCCTGCCAGGGCCCGTGTGAGCCGCCCATGTTGGTCCCTTCTGGTGCTCCATGGTATGTGTCCCTTTTTTTCGAGTGCAGTTGTCAGGCGGCTACGTTTAGGCAGCCTTTGCCTGTATAGGAGTTCAGCATATTCCCCAGGTGGCTGTGTCCAGCCCGGGGCGTGCAGCCTCCATGTGGCCGGGATCACCCCCACCGGCCGGGGGGGGGGGCGGAGCGGGGCCGCGTCTCTCGCCCGTGTGGGTCCCCATCGATGTTCCTGGAGCCGGCATGCTTGTTCCTCCCTACGTGCAGTTAGGTGTCGGTCTGCCGTAAGCTGCTGCCTATGTTCAGGCTTTAAAATGCCACGTAGGCCGGGTTCGTCCGACTGGGTGCTCCCGGTATATTTTTGGCCGTAGTTTGGTATCGGATGGAAGTCGGGGTAAATCCCCTTGGCATCCCGGTGAGCAATCCCGCTTTGGGGCAGATTATGTCTGAATTTTATGCTGTTTTTCGGAGCTTGGCCCTGGAGCCTCGTTGCTCTGCTGCCATGCAGCTTGGCGGCCCGGCCCCGCCCCCTCTCTTTTTATGTTGAAACAACTCTTGATTTCCACCTGCTATGGTATCCCCACAGGGTACCTGGGATGCTGGGCTAACATCATGTGAAGATCTAACTTGTATAACCAACCCCTGATGTAAGGTGTATAGAAGCTAGTGTGACTCCTGAAACTAGGACAAATTTATGGAAAGTCTAAATTATTAATATAAATGCATGGGTTAATAAAGTCCCAGCAAACTCACACAAGACGGTTTATAGATTTTAACTTTTATTCATATTTCCAATTAGAAAGTGGATTCACCTTCTACAAACCATGAAAAAGGTTTTAATTTTTATTTATTTTAAAAACTGTGTACGAATTACCCCTTTTCCATAAAGATATTTTACTGAATTTTGTATTTAAAATATAAAATAAGACTATTCAACAATCCAAACAATTTATAACATTTGAATAACCAATGTCCTCTGAATGTTCCCATTTTTGTTGCTGTATTTATATCTTAGCTAATTAAAAATAACAAATCAACATCCCAATCTATTTCTAAACCAACAAATTGCTTTGTTCTAGACATTAGTCCTTTAGGCGTCAAACCCATAGGTGTTTCTGTCATAATATGCTGGATAAAAGTCTGCTGTAGTGGTTATGGTGGTGTAGGGCTCTTTTAAATCCTGTAACATCATTGTAGGTATTGAATTATGTCAATGTGTTAAAATAGCAAACCTTGAGTTGTCTACAAGGAGAGGACAAATACTGTCATGCAAATGTAACTATATTGTGACTAAGGTCATGTCACCATAGATATGACAAGTTCTGTAACTGACTCACCCCCACCCAAAGCCAATGGCATACACCCACAACCAAAAAGTCTAGACTGTAGGCTTTACGTCGATGCTGTATCATTGGTCTGCAGTGATGTTTAAAGGGAATGGCTTTGGATTTATAACACACCCACAGATCACAAGATGTGCCTGACAAATATATTTTCAATAACCGTTACAAAGGCAACTCCTGTTTCCCCCACTGTTGTGTTCTTTCTGGTAAACACTGTCGTCGTCGCTGTTAATGATGTCTTTCAGGGTCAATCTCTTCCGTTTCTATTTACTGATGATGCGTTTTGTATTTGTGATGTGTAAATTTCAAATGTGATTTATTGGTTTGTAAGTGCATGTCATACATACCATTGAAAATATTTTTCTAAGCTAGACATGGGGTTTTTACAAATGCATTGGAGTAAATGTTGAAATTTTTTTTTTTTTCTGACGTGTTAATGAGATTATTTTTTGTAAAAGTATTGTTTCTTAAAACGTGTTAAAAGTGAACAAAATTATATTTGCTGTCAATAAAAGTCTACTTCATTTATATTCTGAAATGGCCGTGTTTCATTTCGTCCAAATCTTCCATTTGCTGAGGTAAATATGTCTACAGGTGATTGAAAATATTGGATGTACCAGCACTAGAGAAAATGCAAAGAAATGAGTCTAGCAGACGAATAATGAATGTGAGGATATGTCACTGGATTGACTAGTAGATGCCTGTAATGATTTACTAGTGGAAGTAGTAAAACCTAAATAATTCAAGAATGATTTACTAAAGGGTCATAAAACTATTTTATTTATTTTTTTAAACCGTAAACTATGAGTTCTACGTTCTGTAGTGGATATGGTGCTCCGTAACCATATGAAATACATGTTATCCTTGGGTGAAACCGATTTCCCAAATCCTATTCAAATCCTATTTTTATTTGGTCCTACCAGTGAATCTGTTACTAGTTTGTTTTCCCTTCAATAGTTACCTCCATATGCTCTGGGCTCTGGCATCTTAAAGTAAAACCTCATTCTGTGCTTTTGAAGTTCAAGTACTCCCGTTGCATAGAATGTATTGCTCTCCTGTTGGTTATTTATTTATTTTTTGTGTGCATCCTTCAAAAGGTGTGCGTGTCAATTTCACATTTAGATCCTGATGGAGCTTTCTCAATGTTGTCATTCTTTTTGTTGCACTAACTTGGCTCTCAAAGTTAAAATGGTAATCCTAACGTGTTCACTGTATCTAGAGGGATATCAGCTATACTTCAGTGACGAGGCCCATAGAAGGCCAAAGCGATTGTCCAGGGTCGCTGTATCTCTTGTGCAGAGAGAAGTTGCTTGCATTTCTGTTCTGGACTGCCCGTATGGGTTGGATCAGTCAGATATGCCTTGGAATGGTTCTCTCTGTAATGATACAAGTGGGCAAAAACTATTTTGAGACCTGAGTGAGAATTTAATGTGATTTAATGTGATTTAAACATTATTACTGAGCTTTTTTTTAAATAACAGAGGGGAAGACGTGCAGGAAAAAAGTAACGAAACCTGTTTTCTCCCACTTCAAACTCTGATAAGAACTATTCTTGTGCATTGTTCTTAATCGCAATTTGACAGAATTGTGGGTAATTGTGACTCATCGAAAATTCTGAACTTGGAAATGGCATTTAAACTAACAATGGATGAGCCGTTTTGTATGTGTTATGATTTGGAGATCCATCTCTAGTGCCAAAATTAAAATATGATTGATGGGGGAGGGGGGAAATAATTTAATTGGTTATTGGCATTTCTACTTTAATTTCCATTTTTTGGCTGTCATTTAACATTGCTGGATAAGATTTTAAATGTAATATTTTTGGATAAAGTTTGAAATGATTTAACATTCTAAAAAATATTTTAATTTTAATACATATTTTTTTATTTCAAAAAGATATATTCGTTTATATATATTAAAAAATTTTCTAATTATTTTTGTAGTGCATACATAATCACACAAGTTTGTAAGGACGTATCAACAATTATTAAAGCAACAAGGAGGATTATATATTTGTGACAGGACATGTCAAGAGGCGTGCACTTTCTTTTTTGGATTAACATCAGTAGTGGAACAGTCATGTCTAAATTCTGCAATAAGTAGAGGCGTAGGAAAAGAGGACATGATTGATATATTCTTTTTAGAAATTAAATCAATTTGTATGGATGCTTTATCCCACAGTTTTGTTTTGTGACACAAATGGATATAATAGGTGTCATGTCGTCCTCCAGTTCATAAAAACACAGGCATTTTGTGCTACAAATTTGCTTTACGACCGTTCTCCCGTACCCCCCCCACGCACCAATCACACTAACTTATTACAAATGTCTACTTCTTTCCCATAATTAAATACTTGCGGTTTCTGATAACTGGAAACGGAAAAAGGAAAAACATTCACACAGACCTATTGGCATGTCAAACAAAGTATTATCAAACCAAATATCGCTCAACTGTTTATGATTTTAAGGAATGTCAGATAAAGCTATATCCAAAATTACAATTCAGAATCTGTTCAAAGCCATCTAATTAATGGAAACTATTTTTAAGTGATCAGAAGTCCCTCGGGTCTTTCAGAAAAACTTGGACTAATTAAAAAAATAAAAAATAAAAAATAAAAAAATAAAATATATATATATTATATATATATATATATATATATATATATATACACCTACCATGAGATGAACTATGTTTCTAAGCAGGCTGATTTTTGGCTAAAGTTCACTTACAACTTTCCCTGTTTTTTTTTTTTTAAATACAAATATTAATAAAGAAAAACAATATATATTGGTTTCATAAATATTAACTGCTGATCTAAGGCTGGATTTACACTTTAGCTGGAAGGCTATTCCATGCATCCACTACTCTCACTAAAGTAATACTTCTTGATATTGTTTTTTTAAAACGTAATGTTTTATTGTTTCAGGAAAAATAATTGGGAGAGGGATACAGCAAGGAAAAAGGGGGTTGGGAGGGAACGGGGAAGTACAGCAAAATTTCCTGGCATACATTCATACAATTCCCACATGATATGGTGATATACTTACGTGCCCGTACAAAACACTTAAGGGGAGCAATTCTAAATGTGCGTACAGTGTGTAACAGCGAGCCTGTTAACCTCAACCTTTTGTGGTGACAGGGCCGAGTAACTTAGAAACATGGAATGTGACGGCAGATAAGAAGCATTCGGCCCATCTAGTCTGCCCAATTTTTAAAATATTTTTATTAGTCCCTGGCCTCATCTTATAGTTAGGATAGCCTTATGCCTATCCCACGCATGCTTAAACTCCTTTACTGTGTTAACCTCTACCACTTCAGCTGGAAGGCTATTCCATGCATCCACTACCCTCTCAGTAAAGTAATACTCCTCTTGTTGTGGTAGTTTTTCTTCTTTTACATATAATCTCCTACTTTACTGTGTTGATTCCTTTTATGTATTTAAATGTTTCTACCATATCCCCCCTGTCTCGTCTTTCCTCCAAGCTATACATGTTAAGTTCCTTTAACCTTTCCTTGTAAGTTTTATCCTGCAATCCATGAACCAGTTTAGTAGCCCTTCTCTGTGAACTCTCTCTAAAGTATCAATATCCTTCTGGAGATACGGTCTCCAGTACTGCATACAATACTCCAAGTGAGGTCTCACCAGTGTTCTGTACAATGGCATGAGCACTTCCATCTTTCTACTGCTAATACCTTTCCATATACAACCAAGCATTCTGCTAGCATTTCCAGCTGCTCTATTACATTGTCTGCCTACCTTAAAGTCCTCAGAAATAATTACCGCTAAATCCTTTTCCTCATATGTTGAGGTTAGGACTCTATCAGATATTCTGTACTCTGCCCTTGGATTTTTACGTCGAAGATGCATTATCTTGCACTTATCCACATTAAATGTCAGTTGCCACAACTCTGACTATTTTTCTAGTTTACATAAATCATTTGCCATTTGGCTTATCCCTCCTGGAACATCAACCCTGTTACATATTTTTGTATCATCAGCAAAAAGACATACCTTACCATCAAGACCTTCTGCAATATCTCTAATAAAAATATTAAAGAGAATGGGTCCAAGTAGAGATGCCTGAGGTACCCCACTGGTGACAAGCCCAAGCTTCGAATATATTCCATTAACTACAAGCCTCTGTTGCCTGTCACTCAGCCACTGCCTTACCCATTCAACAACATTGGAATTCAAACTTAACGATTGCAGTTTATTGATAAGCCTTCTATGTGCAACAGTGTCAAAAGCCTTACTGAAATCTAGGTAAGCAATATATACTGTACCACCCTGATCTATTATTTTAGTTACCCAATCAAAAAAATCAATAAGATTAGTTTGGCATGATCTCCCTGAAGTAAACCCATGTTGTCTCTGATCTTGAAATCCATGTGATTTTAGATGTTCAACAATCCTATCCTTTAACATGGTTTCCATTACTTTCCCCACTACTGAAGTAAGGCTTACTGGCCAATAGCTGCCCGACTCCTCTCTACTACCTTTCTTGTGAATGGGCACAACATTCGCTAACTAACCAATCTTCTGGGACTACTCCTGTTAACAATGATTGGTTGAATAAATCTGTTAATGGTTTTGCTAGTACACCACTAAGCTCTTTTAATAACTTTGGCTGTATTCCATCAGACTTATTTGTCTATACTTTTGACAGTTGAAATAGAACCTCTTCTTCTGTAAACTCACATGTAATAAATGACCCATTTGTCCTTTTTCATAAATGTGGCCCCTTTCCTTCATTTTCATCTGTACATACTGAACAAACATATTCATTGAGGCAGTCAGCTAGACCTTTATCCTCTTCTATATACCTTCCTTCTTTTGTTTTTAATCTAACTAATCCTTGCTTTACTTTTCTTTTCTCATTGATGTATCTAAAAAATGTTTTGTCCAATTTGTTTTACTGACTGTGCTATTTTCTCTTCTGTGTGTGATTTGAAAGCTCTTATAACTTGCTCTTTCTGTCTAATCTTATAGATCTGTCTTCCTCATTTTTTATAATTACTAAATGCTAACTTTTTGTTTTGTACTATTTTGGCCACATCTGCGGAGTACCACAGTGGTTACTTGAATTCTTTTTTTTTTTTTTTACTGACCAGTCTAATGCAATTTTCTGTTGCCTTCAGCAGTGAAACTTTTAAATAATACCATTTCTCTTGGACTCCATTTTAATTGCTCCAGTCTGACAATGACTCCTTTACACATATTCTAATTTTAGAAAAGTCTGTTTTTCTAAAGTCTAAAACTTTTGTTTTTGTGTGGTGTGACTCCGTCACTGTTCTTATATTAAACCACACTGACTGATGATCACTGGATCCTAAACTTTCACCTACAGTAATATCTGATACCAAATCTCTATTTGTTAAAACTAAATCTAGTATGGCCTCTTTACAAGTTGGCTCCTCAACGACTTGTTTTAGAGACAATCCCAGTAGGGAGTTTAGAATATGTGTGCTCCTGGTACAAACTGCTATTTTGGTTTTCCAGTTCACATCAGGAAGACTGATGATAACTTCCCCCTTCATTGTCATTTTAGCTATTTCCTCAACTAGTAGATTATCTAAGTCTTCTATTTGTCCTGGGGGCCTATAAATCACACCTACACGAGTAACCCAAACGGACTCTATGTTCGCCTCACTAACTTTTATTAGGCTAGATTTTATGCTATCCTTCACATACAGGGCCACACCTCCCCCTTTCTTGCCTTCCCTGTCTTTTCTATATAAAGAGTACCCTGGTATTGCTATGTCCCAGTCATTTTTCTCATTATACCATGTACCAAATCTACCATATCAGTTGCCATTATTGCCACAAGTTCACGGATCTTATTCCCTAAACTGCGAGCATTTGTAGACATTACTCTAAGCTTATAATTTTTTAACACATTTTCTACAGGCACCTTCTGTCCTTGTTTTGGGGGGCAATTGGATTGATGTTTTATCACCCTTTTGAGAGAGCATAGCTACCATGAGAAACAAAGCCAAATCCTTGCTCCCGACACCATTCACCAAACCACAAGTTAAAGTCCCTAATACGCATCCGCCTGTCATTCTGAGTGTTATGGACAGGCAGAACTTCAGAGAATGACAGTGTGGACGCAACCTGCCGTATATCATTGGCAAAAACACAAAAAACTTCCTTTACCTCTGAAACCTCATTGCAAGCCAAGTCATTTGTCCCTAGATGGACAAGTACATCCAATTTCCCCTTTTCTGCTTTGCTCCCTTAACAATATTACAAATATATCTCCTGTCTCTCACAAGACCACTATTGTCCATCTCCACACCTCCTATGATAGAATCCCCCAACAACAACTGCTTTCTATTAGGCCTCACCATATTCTCCAAAACACCACTACCCTTAGAGCCTGAGCCTGTCTCCATAACACCACTATACTTGGTGTCTGAGCCTGTCTCCATAACACCATTACACTCTGAAAGTGATTGAAAATGAATTATGTAGAGCAACAGACTGTGCAATATGCCTTTTATCCACAACTTTAAGTCTACCAGATCGTACAGTAATCCATCTGCCATTCCTAGTTCGTCTCTGCAGCAGTTCCAGCCTGAGTTTCTTTACCAGATAATTTACAAATCACAGACTTCAAAAATACAATCTCCCGCCGCAATACAGAGAACTGTCTACAGATTAGACAGCATCCAAATTTCCAAAAAGTGGAACGTGAAACAAATGCACAACTATTAAAATGAACTAAGTCTGCCATTTTAATGAGGTGAACAATTTAAATCAAACAAATATTAACATTTTTTTTTGTCCTCCTGTATACCTCAGATTACCTCTAGTTTATCTCCAGAATATCTCCAATCACACACTTAGAAGCAGCACTATCCAGAATATCTCCAATCACACACTTAGAAGCAGCACTCAGATGTAGCAAACAAGTTATATTAGCCAAGCTAATGACCACAACCCTTATATAACCCTAAAAGCACTAACCACTAGGAATGTTTAACAACTGGGTAGGACTATGCTTATTTGCAAACAATAGCTAATTAAGCAACATTCAATAAATAGCAAGCACCTAGCTAATCAAATCAAATGCCTTACCAATTACCAACAGAAAAGCAAACCTTGTGCAATCAGTAACCTTTTCCTATAGATGAATCTTACCTGTAACAGTAAAAAAGAAAACTCTCTACAGGTCTTCTGAGAAGTGGGCCGTATGTGCAATCAGCATGATGCTGTTCCCCTTGTTTGTTTGTCGGTTTCTAAACACCATTTGGGGAAAGTGGGAGTCAGACGAGGATCTTACACTAGATAGCGTAGAGTGGTGAGGGCAGTGTCTTGTCGGTATTCCAGGGTGGCAGTAGCTGATTCGTACCTGCGTGGGCAGTCGGGGTACATAATGTAGTCTAATGGGTAGGTAGACATGTTATGTTAGTGCAGTAGTAGGTGTAGGTGATATCATTACATGATAGAGAGCCCCTACTGTCCTTTCGGTGGTGTTGGGATGATAGCCGCGCTGCCTGTCCCCTGGCTATTAAGTGGGAGTCAGCAATACTGTCAGTTCATCAGTAACAGTGTCCATGAAAACATTTTGTGATCGCAGTATATATATATATATGCTTATCGACATTAAATTGGTGTTGGTGGAAGGGATACAGAAAAAAGAAGGGTGGGGGGGGACATAAACGTCAAACATTATAAAGTATTCCTTTCTTTGCTCTTATGGCGTAATTCTTGATTAGGTAGCAGGAGTGTCATAAATACTCTGCGGTCGGCACCTGTTGTAGCACCACAGATATCTCAAGGGTGAGTAGCTATGTGTGTGTTTACGTTTACGCTGTGAGGTCAGCATTGGTGTGGAGTAGAGGTTTAGCCATGGTTTTCCATGTTTCAAAGGGGAATGGTATCTTTGGGTTTATAGTCAGCAAAGAAAGGTAGCAAAGTGATAGTGGTTTAGGTTTAGCGGGTGTCCGCCAGCATCTGTCGTAAATCTGGTCCATGATATCAGGGCTAGTTTGTGCCAACTCTGATTGTGTGTAAATAATTGTAAATACTGGAATACAGAAGAGTTGGGTAAGTTATATTTCTTCTGAAGTTCTAGAAAGGGTAGAATTTGTTGTTGGTGGCAACATCCCTAATGGAGTGGATGCCTTGTTTGTGCCAAGAATTTAAGCCTACCAAGCAAGGACAGTTTTGCAGTGTTCCATTGTTGGGTATGTGTTTTGTACATGTGTATTAAAGGTGTAAAATTGAGGTTGAAGATATTGTCTGGGGTGTGACCAATTTTGACCCCCAAATATGTGATATCTGTGGTCCTCCAGCCAAAATCATATGATTGTTGCAGGAGTTGTGTGATTTTTTGGTGGGGAAGGTTTATTGGTAGGGCTTGAGTTTTACTTTGTAGCAATGTTGGTACTGAAACAGTTGGGTCTCTCAACGTCCGCAATATATCATCCACAAACATGGAGAGGCTCTTTCCCTAAGTGGATGCCTGAGATGCTGCCTTATTTTATGTGCTAGGGGTTCTAGGGAGAGGATGAAGGGTAATGGTGACAGGGGGCATCCCTGCCAAACACCGTTTGTGATATGGAATGGTTTGGAGATAACCCCTGAGTTGGCTACTTTGGCTTGTGGGTCATTGTACATTATTTCGGTGATAAAGGTATGGGGAAAGCCGAATTTGAGATGTACTTGTGTCATGTATTAAGAGTGGAGTCTGTCAAAATCCTTCTCTGTGTCTAAAGCAAGGAGGCGGCCCTGGTCGTGTCGATGTGGGAAAGTAGGTTAAGGATTATTTTTTTTCTGATGTTGTCTGAGCATTGTCTCCCCTTGATAAACCCAGATTGGTCATAGTGGACTAGTTTCGGTAGGACGGTAGAAAGTCTGTTGGCCAGAAGTTTGGCATACATTTTTACGTCGGGATTCAGTAGTGAGATTGGTCAGAAATTTTTGCATTGGGTAAGGGCTTTACCTGGTTTTGGCAATGTGGAGATGTGTACCATAAGCATGTCGTTGGGTAGTTTCCCTTCAAAGTAGCATGAGTTGAATAGGTATGTGATGGAGGATGAGAGAACGTTTGCAAATGTCTGGTAGTAGAGGTTGGTGAAGTTATCTGGGCCTGGCGCTTTGTGTGTGGGACGATCTTTAATAGCTTTTTCTACTTCTGCGCGTGTGAAAAGAGAGGTAAGTGTTTGAGAGTGTAAGAGTGATAAGGGGGCAGGGTCCTCTTTAAGGTTATAGTGTGCTACAATAAGACGCAAGCTCGTCAACTATGTCTTGTGGATTGATCAGTTTCCCTTAGTTGTTAGTCTGTATATATGCTATCTTGAATTTTTGTGTTCTGGCTTTGAGTTGTGATGCTAGTAGAGCACCTGCTTTATTACCTTGGGAGAAGGATCTATATTTACATCTCTGTAAAAGGTAAGTAGTCTTTTCAGTTCCATGGTTTTAAGTTTGTTTTGTAACAAGGTAAGTTCAATTTGCGTAGTTTTGGATGGGTGTTATTTGTTTTTGTTTGTGGGGTCAGTAATGTCTCTAGTGAGCGTCAGGTATGTTTGCTTCCGTTGTTTGTTTCGAAAGCTGGCATGTTTGTTAAAAATGTCTTATTACCGCTTTGTGCGCCTGCCATACTGTTTCTATACTGGTGTCGGTGGGGTTATTCAAGTCAAAATATGAGGATAATTCTTTTTGTATTGTGGTGATCAAGTTAGTGTCTCTGAGTAGGGAAACGTTTAATTGCCAGGTGCTTTAATCTGAAAATGGGTAAATTTCTTGAATTGTCATAAGAGCATGGTCAGACCATAATATAAGGCATATAGTGGTGTTGTGAAATTTGTGGAGTAATTGTGAGGGTGTATTATTATTATTATTGGCATTTATATAGCGCCAACAGATTCCGTAGCCTCTCCATGTTTGTGGATGATATATTGCGGACGTTGAGAGACCCAACTGTTTCAGTACCAACATTGCTACAAAGTAAAACTCAAGCCCTACCAATAAACCTTCCCCCCCAAAAAAATCACACAACTCCTGCAACAATCATATGAGAGGGGATTTAACTATAAATAGGACAATTACAAGAAAACTTATAGGGTGGAGAGGACCCTGCTCAAACCAGCTTACATTGTATAGGAGGTGGGGTGTAAAACACAATCGGACAGGAAATATCAATCAGTAGAGTGCTGCCCATTAGGAGAGCGCAAGAGACAGGTATGTGGGGTGAGTCTGGGAGGCCATAAGCTTTCCTAAAGAGATGGGTTTTTTAGGCACTTTTTAAAAGATGCAAGACTAGGGGAGAGTCTGATGATGGTAGACAGGCTATTCCATAGGAAGGGAGCCGCCCGCAAGAAGTCCTGCAAGCGTGAGTTGGCCGTACGGGTGCGAACAACAGATCTGTGAAGAGATATGAGATATGGGCTAGATTTGTTCAGTGCTTTATAGGTGTGAATTAGTACCTTGAATTGACTCCTATAGCATTCAGGAAGCCAATGTAAGGACTGACAGAGGGGTGAGGTGTGAGAGAACCGACTAGAGAGGAAAATCAGTCTGGCGGCAGCATTCATTACAGACTGTAACGGTGCAGTATGGCTTTTGGGAAGAGCAATCAGGAGAGGGTTACAATAATCCATGTGGGAAATTACTAGCGCATGGACAAGCTCCTTGGTAGCATCTTGCGTAAGAAAGGGGCGGATGTGGGCTATGTTTTTAAGATGGAATCTACAGGATTTGGCAACATACTGGATGTGAGGCTAGAATCAAGTATGACACCAAGAAAGCGCGCTTGCAAGGATGGACTTATGTGGGAACCACTAACTTGAAGGGAGAGCGAAAGAGGAGGATCAGTATTAAGAGGAGGAAAGACAAGGAGTTCAGTTTTAGAGACATTGAGTTTCAGAAAGCGGGAGGACATCCAGTCAGAGATGGAAGAAAGGCAAGCAGTGACACGTTGCAGGACGGCAGGAGAGAGGTCCGGGGAGGAGAGATATATCTGGGTGTCATCAGCGTACAGGTGGTAGTGGAAACCAAAAGAGGTTATAAGTTTGCCAATAGAGGCAGTATAAAGAGAAAATAGAAGGGGACCAAGTACAGAACCTTGGGGGACTCCAACCGAGACAGGACGAGGGGAGGAGGGGTTATTAGAAAAGGAGACACTGAATGAGCGCTGGGAGAGATAAGAGGAAAACCACGAAAGGACAGTCACAGAGACCAAGTGATTGAAGAGTTTGAAGAAGGAGAGCATGATCAACTGTGCCAAAGGCAGCAGAAAGGTCAAGAAGAATTAGTATGGAGTAGTGGCCTTTGGATTTAGCTGCGATTAGGTAGTTAGTAACTTTGATAAGCGCAGTCTCAGTAGAGTGGAGAGGGCGGAAGCCAGATTGAAGAGGGTCAAGAAGAGAGTTGGAATTGAGGAAATGAGACACACGGGTAAAGACAAGTCTTTCCAGGAGCTTTGAGGAAAAAGGGAGCAGGGATATAGGACGATAGTTAGAGGGGGAGGACGGCTCAAGATATGTTTTTTTCAGGATAAGTACTACAGTGGCATGTTTAAGGTCAGCAGGGACAATGCCAGAAGAGAGAGAGCAATTGAAGATGTGCATTAAGGAAGGCACGAGACAAGTGGAGAGAGATCGAATAAGGTATAATAAAGAGATGGGACAGGATCGAGCAGGCAAGTGGTGGGGCGAGAGGAAATGAGAAGTAACATGCAAAGCTATTGGCAGTAAGGTTAGTTTGGGGGGTGGACACGGCAGGGCGAAGAAGAGAATTAAAGGTGTCAGAGACGCCTGGGATTGCGGGAGCATGAACTAATGAGAGAGGAAAAGTAGGACTGTTTGTCGAGGGCAAGGGCTGCGCTGTATGAACACAATATGAATTTATAATGAAGAAAATCTGACTGGGTGCGAGACTTCCTCCAGGAGCGTTCAGCACAACAGGAGCATCTTTGCAGGTAGCATGTTGATTTAGTATGCCACAGTTGGGGGCGTGTCCTCCTTGAGGTGCTTTTTTTGGAGCGGTGCTTCAGTGTTCAAGGCAGAGGTGAGGGTAGTGTCATTTGTGGCGATGGCCAGTGAAGGACAGGAGAGGGAAGGGATGGATAGCAGTTGTGAATCAATATCAGCCGACAGCTGCTGGAGATCAAAAGAATTAAGGTTCCTCCTGAGTTGAGGGATGTTAGGATGAGGTTGTTGGGTGAGGAGGTACACGAGAGTAAACAATAAGAGGTGGTGATCAGAGAGAGGAAATAGAGTGTTGCAGATGTTAGATACTGTACATGCATAAGAGATTAGGTCAAGGGTATTGCCAGCTACATGGGTGGGATAATTAGCCCACTGTGATATCCCGAGGAAGTAATTGAGAGTAGTTTAGAGGCTGCAGAGGTCAAAGGTGGGTTAATGGGAATATATCAATTATTGTGTATATGCTGTCGACTGCAGAGTGGAAAGTATAGTCTACTTCGGTGGGGTGTTGTATTCTCCATGGGTCAACAAAATCATGTTGTAATTTAATGGAGGAGAGTTTGGATGCTAGGACCTTTTGCCTGTTTGCAGTAGGTGCATGTACTTTGTGGGTGGATGATGGGTCGATGGAGGCACCCAACAAGAAATTAGTGTCTCCTCCCAGGATTACTTCACCAAACTTTTACAGTGAGATTAGGCCAAATAGTGTAGTAAAAAATTTGTGTTGGTTGTTGTTCAGACTATATACATTAATCAACGTTTACGGTGCATTCTAGATGTAACATTGCAGTATTAGATATCTGCCCCGCTTGTCCCCCACTTTTGACCTTGATATTTTTAAACCATTGCCCCTCTAATTTAAAGGCACACTATTAGGCACTGAGACCTCATTAGCCCTGCAATAATTTAAAGGCACACTATTAGGCACTTCAGCTCATTAGCCCTGCAAAAGGTACTTAATGCATTTTTTTTTTAATGAACTGCAATAATTATCTTTATGGGTTAACACCCAGTCTAATGGCTGTCTAGCAGACAGCCACTAGAGGAACATCTGGCTCATTAGGCGACTTTAGGTCACCTTACGATGCTGACACACAGCCTGCAGTTCTGATGTTCTCAGCCAATCTAAAGATTTTCCATAGGACCAAAAAACAAAATAAAAATACTGTCGTACCAATCAGTATCTCAAGAGACACATCGAATCAACAATCAACATTTTCCTGGCACTAAAAGGGTTAATAGGTACCCCCTTCAGCCACTAATCTGAATCCAGCACCAATGTCCCTCGGTGCTGAGTCACGCTCCGCCCCAGTGGGGGAGACCTGATGCGCATGTGCAGCAATGTCTGTGCGCGCATTAGACCTCCCCATAGGAAAGCATTATTCAATGCTTTCCTATGGGAAAAATCTAACGCTGGAGTGCCGGAGACCAAAGGTCGGTTTGGTTTCCGGATGTTTTACATTGCAGCACTAAGTGCAAAAGGGTCACTGCACCCATACTACAATTGGTTGAAGTGGTCTGGGTGCCTACAGTGTCCCTTTAAGATGCAGTGATTCTGCTTACTCAAGTGTCCTTTTAAGCATAAAAAGCACATTGTGCATCTGCTAGGTGTATAGACTGTAGCTTGTGACATTGCCTGGCAGTATATCAGAATGGGGAGATCATGTTCCCCTCATCACCAATTAAAACCAGTGTTACAGTTCCTTACCCTGCTTATTAGATACAAGGTGCAGTTACAAATACACTAACCATGGGAAAACCTATTTGTAAAGTATTTTTAGTGCTGGAGAAATATAGCATTTAAGTTACTTGTGTTCAAGCTTGGAATATGTTATAAACCACCCCTGTGACAATGTTCCGATCAGAAAAAAATGTCATAAGCTCTACAAAGTTGATTAGTAACCTTACCACCTGCTGGGTTTCCCTCTGTCCTAAAGGGTTTCACAAGTCAGCAGTAGGGGCTCGTCCATAGGGGTGCCTAGGTCAAAGCCCTGACAGTATTTGTGTGGGAAAGTGTTATTTGCAGTAGTTTAAAAACCCTAAGGATTCTTTTTCTGGAGGGAAAGTGGCAAGCCCCAAAAAAATGAGGGGGGGAGGGGGTAAATGTAACAGTCTTGTTAATTTTGTAATTGGTGTCAATTCTGCAGGTCCTGTCATTGGTATTTAACCCCCCCCCCAAAAAAAAAAAAAAAAAAAAACCTCCACACAAACAAACACTTACTAGACCAAGAAATTGAAAACCACTCCCCCCCCAAAAAAAATCTTCCCTATTTAGGCATTTTATGCGGCACATGCCTAATGAGAGACGCAAGAAGCCATCTTGAAAGCAGCAGCTCCTGGTCCCTACCAAATGTAAGTGTAGAATATCTTTCTCCTCCTCAATAGCCCAAGTGCCTGCCTGAGGGCTGAACTAACACAAGGATTTACTCAAATAGTTAAAATTTATAAAGCCAGGGAAGCCCTAGAGTGACAAGGTTAGTGGCATCTCTGAAAGAGCACTATGCTGTTTTAATGGAAATTCTATATACACAGATCCTCTTAAAGGAACATTTGTTGGACTAGCTGTGTAGATGGTCTCCCACCCCTTACGCCATATGAAGTTAAAAAGACCATCACTGTGCCACTCACTACAGCTGGCACCGCATCCATGTCTGAGATTAATCTTGGCAATCTCAACCAATACAATGCTTTCCCATAGGAAAACATTGGTACTGTGTATGCACAATAGCCTACCAATCATCTCCTCAGAGATTTATTAAATGGAGATGCTGAACAGAGGTGCTGTACATAGTGGCCATCTGAGTGACTGCACCTAGAGGAGTTACTAAGCAGCAATGTAAACACTGCCTTTTCTCAGAGCCTGTAGGGACATGATGTAGACACTACATTAAGCTGCAATAGTTCTGCTAACTAGTGTCCGTTTGAAATGACTAGTATTTGCTAACATTCATCATTAAATCAAATCACAATTTTAAGCAAGACCTTTCTACTAGCTTGCCAGTGAATGGAGCGACATATTCAAAATATTTGGGAGTTTGAGATTTGTACAGAATGTTCCAATTTAATGTTTAGTAAACCCATTTGGAGTGGGAGAATTGAAATAGATTAGTGAATAATATCTGAACTGTAAAATACAGTTTGGCCAAACGGTATCTATTAAACAACTTTTGCATATATTAGCCTGCCAGGCAGACGTCAGGTTATCAGTATAGCTCATCCTATTTTTTCCAGAATAGTGGAAAAAAACTAATTAGCAGTAATGCTTTAATATAGCTGTACTGCAATACACATTTATCTGGATAGGTTATGGGCTATGATTAGTTACTGCTACAATAATCTCTTATTTGTGGCAGCCAGTCTCACAAATGCAAAGGAGGAATAGTAAAACCCAACCAATTCATTTCAAATCAAAGCTGCATTTTCGGTCAACTGTGCTCTTTCGGCCACTAAGAATACAGATGGAATTCAATACATGCAGGGTGACCAGAAAACATAAATACAGCCTCCAGTCTGCTGTGCAAATCAGGCTTTATAACTAAAGTCCAATTAGACATGTTTTAGAACATACATAACCTGGTTTTTAAAATCAACAAAACTAATATTACGTCTCATTAAAGTTTAAAGTGATTTGATACCTGAGGGATTCCTCCAAATGAATACTATCACACAAACATTTCTCCATCCCTCTGGAGCAGGCAATATGTAGCCCAGTAATTTCAACATAAACCTAACCTAAATCATTGCACTGTCCAATGGTTATGAACTCAGATATGTTCAATAACATCTCCATGTGTTTACCATAAAGCAAATTGCTCAAATAGTACACAGGAGCCAGTGATCCATACATCTATCATAACTTGCATCTCCCAAAATTTCTTTTGTATATAGAAAAATCAGTGAACAAGGAACATGTTAGAATCAAATTTTACTGGACACATCCACACAACAAAACAAAAGGGAAAGACAGAAGCCAATATAATAACCTAAACATGGAAAAAAATCCCCTCTTTATTTCCCGCAGATATCAAACAAAAAGGTAAAGTGTAACAAAATTGAAACAAGGTCACACTACAGAGGAAAAAAAAAATTATACTTCAATATCCTAGACAAAATATTGATTTATTGGTTTTCTGGACCACAATGCATCTTAGTAAAACTGATAGCTTCTGCACTGGATTCTGGTGAGGCCTGCCTAATCAGCATTTGATCCTTCAATACTTTCTGGTTCTGGCGCAGGTTCCGCTCCGGTGTCTTTCCCTTCTTTGCTTCGTTTGGATTTTTTGTGTTTGTGCCGCCTGTGAGTGTCACCTTCTTCGCTGTCATGACGGCGCCTGCTGCTGCTAGGGAAAGGTAGGAATTAATTAAATGTGTAGATACTGGGAGGGAAAAAAGTTTCACAGGCAGGGTTGTCTTCACTCTCTCAAAGCAAATCACAGATTCAATGAGTAATAAAACAATAAAATGTATTTAATCATTCTGACTTTCTGGCATAGAGGATACATTGTGCCAATGGCTGTTTCAATTAACCTTGATTAGATTTCTTGTAACTTAAAGGGTCATCATTCAGAAATCTTTTGCAATCACAACTAAATCAGCACACACCTAGTGTAGTCTAGGTAGATATTTTAAGTGTCTCAGGAAAATAACTTGAAGGTTTGCACAAGGCAAAAAGCATTTCAGATACAGCTGTGGTGACTGACCCACCCAAATATTTTGGATATATAAATCACAAAAATGTTCTAAACCATTCTTCTATGAATCTAGACTTGTGGCATGTTGTATTTTTCATTTTTAGAGGATGTCTCTGTATATGATGTAGGATGTCTCCCTACACATTTCCTGTAAAGAGAGAACTAATGTTTAAACTTCCTTTATTGCACAGACCATTTGAGAATTTATCTTCTGCTCTATGAATAGCCTGCAGGAGCATCCTGTGTGAGATTCAAGTTAAATTTACAGAGTCGGAGAGGAAAATCAAAAGTTTATAGCATCGAGAATATCTTTTAACATGCAGAGTGTGTGAGTCACAGCCAGGGGAGGTGTGGCTAGGGCAGCATAAACAGAAACAAAAAGTAGTTTAACTACTAAATGGCTGATAATTGTGCAGAGAGAATGCTGGGGCGTGATCTATACGCCTAAAGTAGTTAAAGTTGTTTTGGGCACTACAGTGTCCCTTTAAGACATTTATTCATGTCTGCCTTTTTGGTTAATGTGGGATGAAGCCTTGCTAACTGTAGTTGCACACCGATTATCCTGCAATGCTGTACAAGAAGCAGAGCACACAATCCATTGGATCATTATAGTTTGACAAGGTTGTCCACTAAAGTCGGAATTCAAAGTGAATTTCAAATTTAAGGTCAAAATAGCCAAAGTCTAAGTCGGCTATGCTGTCACTTTGGTCTAAAATGTAAAATTCACTCCAAAATTGCACTTTTCTAAATAATCCTGTCAGCCTTTGCTCTATATTCCAATAGCACAGAGGTATAAGTGTAGAACCTCAAAACGATCTTTATCTATGCTTTTACCATATATTTCCTTAAGGATACCAAGTGCCTTAAAAAGCCCCTTGTATCAATGGAGTCTTCTCTGCAGAAGGTTGTTTCAAAGAGCATAAACATATTCTTCACACAAACCTGAAATCATTCTAATATTCAATGCTTTGCAGTGTAATAGTGTTCCATCAGGTAACATTTGCAAAATGGCCATTTATTGAAAACATAATACTTTGTAAAATATCTACACCAGAGGTAGTTTATTCAGTTGAGAGCTACAAATGATTTGCTTCAGCTTCAAAAGGAAATTATTCTTTTGTAGTAAGGAAGGAACTGGGAAGAATTATTCACATGTATATTTTAAAGTAAATAAAGAATTAAAGTGGAGAATTAAAACTAATCAGGAAATGATTGCAAGCATAATACAAACCTTGTTACACTGGATATACCAAACAATCTCTTTTTGGTGGGAGAAATGACACACACGTCTATCCAAACCGCTAAAACAGGCAACCGTAGCAATTTACGATTGGAATAGCTTTTATTATGCTGCTGAAAAATCTACATGGCTTACTGGTTTAATTTCATTGACCAGTCATATTCTGCTGGTGCAGGGAGTTCTAATGATCTCCAATCCTTATTTCTGTGTCAAACCATTTGACACAAAGCGACTATCTCTGTGGTGCTCACAGCCTGGCTCCTTTCCTTAATGCCAATGTGGGTCTGCTAGAACTCGCAGTGATATCCATTTTGACTATCACAGAATCACAGCTTCCATGTTTGCAATAAGTAAAAAGAGGTCTAGCTGTAGGCTAAAGGGAACCGAAATCTGTCTAGACAGTGAAAACCGTTTAAAACAGAATCAGAGGATGGTCCTTAAGGCCTAAACCATTTAAGTTGCTTACCACACAACCCAACCTAATTTGGAACAGGAGCTCTTACAAGCATGCACACACAGCCAGGTACAAACACTATGACACAAAGTTGTAATACTCCTTCCTCGTTTTGCTTACCTGCATGCAGAAGGAGGAAATGGAAGTTGAAAGGGTAGGGTGCAGGTTAGAAACTGGCACCTGCTTTCTGTCTCAATATGATTATGTAGCGGCTGCTGTACAGCTCACATTGACATATATTTGTGCTGGTGTGGGAGTGCGGTACTCTGCCTCCTAAAAAAGCCACTCCATTTCAGCCTTTTCAAATGTACATTACAAACTACTAAAAAAAAAATTCGACCTATTTCATTTTAGAGAAATCAGAACTAAATGCTTTGTCTTTCCGTTCATAGTCAAATGGATTTTTTTTTTTTTTTTTTAAATGAAACAAAACCTTCATTTGCAACATATTACCTCCGAGATGATTTATGCCGGGTTGTCTCTTCTTTTTCTCTGTGCCTCCTTTCCCTGTGTCTTTCCTCCTTTTCTCTGCTAATTCTCTCTCTGTGCCGTTCATACCCCCGCTCCGTTCGATCTGTGTACTCTTTGTATCTGTAGCGTTCTTCTTCACTGCAAAGAAAAGGAAATTACCAAACTCAAATCCCACTGGCTGCATGAAGCACAAGTGTTTATCAGTCACTTAAATAAAGATATGTTCTCCAAAGGAAGAATTTAAATGTTATGTCAAAGTTGGTGTGCTACCGCAATAAAAAAAAAAAAAAAAAGGAAATGCAAATATCTGTTTGGGGGTATTTTACTCAGTCAGTGTAACCAGAGTATGCCACTGTCAAATTCTGACCAAGTATCCAGACCAGAATCAAGAAAACGCCCACTCTACTAGTCAAGCTTGAAATTATGAACATAGTTTTTTGCCAGCAGCAAAAACTCCACAGTATGTAAGCAGTTGTTGGAGAATGCTAGGAACTCCCCAATTTGTCAAATGGCACAAACATTATTTCACTAAAAAACCCAAGATGGATGGCACCCAAAGTCTGCTTGCACCAGTAGTATCCATACTTTAAAACTAAAATCTGCAACATGTAAAACAACTTACAATTGTTATTTGATGTGGGGGAGGGGGGCACTTATCTTACTGGCACACTGGAAACCAATTCCATTTTACAGCGCTACTAAATGTTTTGGTGCATTATAAAAGAATAAGGCTAGCTAGGAAGGTTTTATTCCAGTGTCTCTAACCTGTAGATTTTTTTATTTTATTTTTCTGATCAACAAACAGGCTGCCGGTAAATCACAAATATATAGAATAGAGCGCAACGCTAGTAAGGAGTCCATTTTATTATTAGCAGATTTTACAATTTGGGAAAACAAATGCTCATTTTAATTTAAACAAGTAGGTTAGAAATAGACTGGAAGATTGTAACGTTCAACTTTTTTCTTAAAGCGGCACTGTCATGCCAAATCTTGTTTTTTTGGTTTTTTTTTAACCCCCCTCCAGCCTCCACTACATCCAATTGACCCACTAGTCACCCCCAAATGCCCCTAAGCCCCCCACATTACCTATTTTTTAATCCTTATTTTCTGCCCCGATCTTGATTCAGGGCGCCGCCATCTTTGTGTGGGTAGGTGAAGTCCCTGTGGGACATGTCATCTGCCCACACTAGATAGCCTGTGAGATTCCCGCACATGCCCAGTGAAACACCTGGACATGCGAACGGGAATTTCATCTATTCATTCATTCATCAGACAGACGAATGAATGAATAGAAAGATCAGCCGAACAAACTAACACAATGTATCAGTGTTCGTTTGTTCGTTCAGTTTATTACAAGGAGGGAGCTACCGGCATGCAGCTCCCTCCTTGTAATATGTAACGATAGAAGCGGCATGGAGCAGTGCTCCCCACCACTTCATAAACCCCCCCAGGTCCCCCTCTCACTCTATGGGGGTCAATATGACCCCCATAATAGCACAAGGGAGATTAAAATCTCCCAAAGGCCCCTACTCGCTATACCGCAAGTAGGGGCATGTCTACTAAACAGTGATCAGCCTGTGGCTGCTCACTGTAAAAAAAAAAAAAAAAAAAAACCTATTGTCCTTCCTCCCCACCCCTGAGCGGCGGGTGGGGCCATGAAGATAATGAGGGGGGGGTCTGCTCTGATGGGAGGTAAAAGTTGCACACATGGGAACCTACTGTCCTCTTTCTACTCCCCACCTGAGTGGGTGGGGGGCCCCACAAAACAAAGTGGGGGCAACGGGACCTACTGTAGGTCCCCCCTTATTGTTTTATTAGGGCCCCCACCCACCGCGCAGGGGTGGGGGAGGACAGTAGGTCGTCCCCCCTTATTGTTTTATTAGGGCCCCCACCCACCGCGCAGGGGTGGGGGACAGAAGTCCCCCCCCCATATCTTTATTTAGGGCCCCCACGCACCACTCAGGGGTGGGGGCCAGGGGGGGAGGACAGTAGGTCCCTCCCCCTTATTGTTTTAATGGGGCCCCCACCCACCGCGCAGTGGTGGGGGCCAGGGGGGGGAAGGCAGTAGGTCCCCCCCCTTATTGTTTTATTAGGGCCCCACCCACCGCGCAGGGGTGGGGGCCGGGGGGGGGGACAGAAGTTCCCCCCCATTGTTTTATTAGGGCCCCCACCCACCGCTCAGGGGTGGGGGCCAGGGGGGAGGACAGTAGGTCCCCCCCCTTATTGTTTTATTAGAGCCCCCACCCACCGCTCAGGGGTGGGGGCCGGGGGACAGAAGTTCCCCCCCATTGTTTTATTAGGGCCCCCACCCACCGCTCAGGGGTGGGGGCCAGGGGGGAGGACAGTAGGTCCCCCCCCCCCCTTATTGTTTTATTAGGGCCCCCACCCACCGCTCAGGGGTGGGGAAACAGAAGTCCCCCCCCCATATCTTTATTTAGGGCCCCCACCCACCGCTCAGGGGTGGGGGCCGGACAGTAGGTCCCCCCCTTATTGTTTTATTAGGGCCCCCACCCACCAGGCTCAGGGAGGACAGTAGGTCCCCCTTATTATTTTATTAGGGCCCCCACCCACCGCGCAGGGGTGCGGGCCAGGACAGTAGGTCCCCCCCTTATTGTTTTATTAGGGCCCCCACCCACCGCTCAGGGGTGCGGGCCAGGACAGTAGGTCCCCCCCTTATTGTTTTATTAGGGCCCCCACCCACCGCTCAGGGGTGGGGGCCAGTAGGTTTTTTTTTTTTATTTTAATTTTATTTTTTTACTTACAGTGAGCAGCTATAAGCTGCTCACTGCTTACTACACATGTCCCTACTCGCGATATAGCGAGTAGGGGCATTTAATTTACTAATACTAAGTAATCTTTACTTAGTATTAGTAAATGTGGCTGAAAGACCAATTTAGGTCTTTCAGCCTTTTAGTAGATAACTCCCTGATACCGTGGGAATTAGGGAGTTATCTACTAAGCGGCTGCAAGATGCAGCCACAGCAATGAATAGGATCGGAGTTTCATTCATTCTAATGAAATTCCGATCCGAATAAAGTGCCGAATTGCGTTCTAAAACAAACGAACATACTGTTCTCATTCAGTTAGAACGCAATTCGGCAGTTTTGTGTAAAGTGACAGGAAGCATCGCGGGAACAGAGAGGGAAGGTAAGGATCATGGGAAAATTGCTCTGACCAGCGGAAATGAAGCACACTTTGCTCCTCCGCTGGTCAGAGCTGGTCAAGCGGAGGAATCCTCCATAAGGCAAAGAGTCCCTACTTTGTCTTAGGATTTTAAAGAAAAGTAAGGAAGATAGGAAGAAAAGTATAACAGATCCTGAGAGATGGGAAGAAGAGATTGAGGAAAGGTAAGTTCGGCATGACAGTGCCGCTTTAATAGGCAAGCACGTAAAGAAAAACAAATCCAAACAAGTCAGCGTGTATCCTTACAGCTTCTGAAAGTTCCATGATGCTTTGTCAGCCTATAGCAAAACAGCTGAAGGGATACTTGTCGGTTACACCCACCCCCACTTATTAGAAATATAAACCCCTCAAGTCATGCCAGACCAGCTAAAAGGAGTTCAAGCTGACATGTAATTTTACTTCCATCATTAAAGGACATCTATGAAAAAGGCACCAATATCTTTTATTTGCTGCAAATCTGTAAAATAAATATTAAGCAATAGAAGCATACTATTGAAGGCTAACAAGGGAAACAAAAGCACTTGTCCTTAATACTAAATCTGCTATGAAAATGTAAATAAAGCACACAGATGAGCTGATTATACTTGAAGACTAACACCAAGGGAATGAGTAGGAAGGGGAGGTTTAACTACCATGTAAATAAACAGGAAGGAAGAAATGTTCGGTAACATATTGAGGGAAGCAGGGGTCATAGGTTAAACACGTGTGGGTGATACACCTGCTGGCAGAACAGAGACATGTTTGCACACTCTCAAGCAACAGTCTTCACATTGTTCTGTTCAAAATCCTGTGAACTCAAGACGGCAATGTTATGACACCTTGTGATATTGGGGCATTTTTTTCCTCCTTCAGAATAAAGGAACAAAGGTTCGTGATCAGTGTGGTGGCCCCAGAGATAAGTTCAGCAATCCTACAGTAGATCTTGAGCAACTGGAAATGCTGCTGAATCTATGGTGCTTGGGTTAGCAATCATGAATCTAGAAGAGTAATACAACTACAGAAGACAGATTTATATCATTGTAATCATATATTACACTGCAATGCAAACCCCTTTCTATTGGTTGATGGGCAAAGCTCTTGTCAAGCAAATTGACACAAAATTCCCCAACAATGACCTAGAAACAATAGTTTCCAAACATTTCTTTTAGAGTTTGTGCTTTTTCGATCTATTCAAAGACTTCCAAATCCCTTTTGTATATACACACACAGACGAGAAATAAAGGTTATTCTCCCATCTCCTAGACTGCAAGGATAGCTTGAGCAGAGCTGCAACCATTCACCTTTCTGTTGGTGGAACTTGGTTTTGTAGGACACAGCAGAAGCCTTGCATTTACACATACATCAATATTCCATACTGAAGACATGCTATAAAAATAAAACGCTCTCATTTGTGGAGGAGAGCAACGGTCTGACTTGGCTGTTAGCCCTTATTTGAGAATTCAATGAAGTTTTAAAAACCACACTTTATTTCAGCGATGCTATATAAGTGTTTTTCTGGGTACAGACAATTTACTTGCTTTTAAATCACTATTTTAGAAGGAAATTGAAAGAATTCTCTAAACACTTGAATGAACAAAGTCTTTTTAGCGCACAGACTTGGATATTGATATGAATCACAGTAGTATGTTATGTCTTTTGGCTCTGGTAAATCAAAATGTATCTGGCACAACATCACATAGTTTGGTTAGCCACGTCTGAGCACTATAAAATGTACTACACCAGAGGAGTGAGCGTGGAACTCCAGCCTACTGCATGGAAATTGGAACACTTCCATTCTACCACCGTGTGTCTGCTATTTTGAATAATTATCTGTACAGATAGGGTCACTGCTGGCCAAATGAGGATTCCTTATGCTCCTTCCGAGCCCAGATGAGGTTGTAAGCAAAAAGCAAAATTCTTTTAATGCTTAACAACTGACTTATTTGTTATGGTGGAAAAAAAGTATTCACAGAAAGACATTACATGAAAAATATCTTAAAGGGATGATCCTGTTAACATCTTAGCATTACTGCAATCTGCATATGCGGTCACTGCATACAATGTGATGTGACAAACCGTTCAAGTTCGAAAGTGAGGCCACTTCAGTTCTCTACAGATCAAGTGTCATGTTCAGATTAAGACATTAAGTGCAGAGTAACCACAATTTTGACACAAGCAGTTTTCACCAGTGCACACGAAAAAAAAAAAAAAAACCAAAATATATTACAAACGAGCATAGGAGGACAAACATCCCCTCACCCCCCCAAAAAACAAACCACAGTATCTTACATATGGCTTATATTAAACCCAAAATGAAATCAAACACATCTCTTATCTAAAAGTGAAGAGTTTCACTGACCTTGTATATTGAACAATAAACAGATTGGTTTAGACTATGGATCAGTCACTACCCAGACAGAACCCTCTGATTAACTCCATCGAGTGTACCATACTAATTTTTATTTATCTTTTTAGTGTACAAAAAAAAAGAAAAAAAAAAGAAAAAAAGAAAGAAAAACAAGATTATGTATGGATGCAAAAAGCAGAGAAACACCAAACTATTGTTATCCAGATTCATAACTCCTTTGCTGTTTTTAATCACAAGATGGCTGGTTAAATCAAGGAAAACCATATGGCAACACTGAACACAGGGGACAATTTAAACACAAAGAGGAGAATAAGAAAATGGGTGGGGGACTGCAGAGGGTGGACGTTAAAGCCTCCCCTTAGATGCCTCTGTTTTCATAGCTGGTAATAGCAGAATGACCTGGCTCGGTCTGGAAACTATTAAGCTTTAAATTAAAGTCTCCAACTATCAGAGCCTAGAACACAGCACAAGGACAAGCTTTTTGAACATTGCATGGGTTAAAGAAGCCATTTCAGGATTTCTTTGGATCGGAATCAAACTGTCTGCTAGACAGATGTGGAAACTGTTTCTTAACTTCCAAACACTCGCCCTGTAATTTGTAACACAAAACGCACGCCATTTACAGGACTGTAACTACAGAGCACAAACAAAAATGTACTAGTTAATAGTATTTCATCTACATGTTGATATGCTGCATTTACCCCACACCACAAAAAACAAAACAAAAAACTCCGCCCATTTCAAAAGTCGTTTAGTAAACAAATGACATGGAAAAGCCAACACTGACTCCTAGTGACTCCATAGAGTAAAGAACAGGACATTTGGGATATTTATATTCAGGCTAATGAGTGCCTTAAATGCCTGGAAATTTCAAGTTATTTTCCACAAGCCAACATTTAAGTTACTGCAAACCTGAAGGGCCCATGTCACACTCAACAGAACTAAATCTTCACTCGCCAATGGATAGTGGCAAGAGGAAATTTGGAGCCCTGCTTTTACAAGGAGTAACTGAACGATGATTTCTACAGTCACTTCAGATGTTCTATAATGCTTAGTGGGAAAAAAGGAAAACCAAAATCCTTCTTAAAGGGATTCTCCAGTCCCAGGAAAAACAAACGTTTCCCTGGCACTAGAGAATCCTGGAGTGCCCCCCATCCCATGTCACTGAAGGGGTTAAAACCCCTTCAGCTACTTAACTGAATCCAGCTGCGATGTCCATCAGCGCCGAGTCCGGTTTCGCCCACGCACCTCCCCCACCAATGTCAGCCGGCGGGGAGACCTAATGCGCATGCGCGGGACTGGCCGCGCGAGCATTAGACCTCCCCATAGGAAAGCGTTTAATGTTTTACATTGCAGTACTAAGTGCAAAAGGGACACAGCTTTCAGACCACTTCAATTAGCTGAGGTGGTCTGGGTGCCTACAGGGTCCCTTTAAAGTAGAGCAAAAGTTTGCTCTCACTGTCATACTGACACATTATGGTACTTAGCATGGCAACAATCTTAAATCATTAATAAGGGGATGGGGTTGTTTAATTGTTAATGTGATGTTGCAAGCTCAAGCACATCTGGTTCACTGTGTACTGTTCTCTGTGTGTTCATTGTGTTCCAGAACATCACTAAATGCATTAAGTCATCCGGTGTACCAGGCCCTTCCCCAATAGTAGAATTCACTGCCGCAGGTTTAGCCCACCGGAGTATTATGGCAGCGCTGAACATGCTGGATGATTCTTATAGTAACAATCAACGCATAAAGCAGATACATTTTGTTTCATGACCATTAAAAAGTAAATCTTCCCACAAAAAATCATATATAAAACCATTTCAAAGTTTAATGAATTCTATTTCCAAGACTTTTAAAAGCTGCAAATGCATATATGTCATTTTTCATACAATACTACATTGCAGAACTAGACTTGTTAGTGACAAAAAACACAAAAAAACAATATTGAGTTTGACCAGTTTTTGTGAATTATATAGACCACACCTACACAATACATACAATCAAGTTAGAGAATTTAAAGAGGCACTGTCATGTCCGAATGTGGATTTTTAAACCACTCTCCCGACTCCTAAATGTTATGGTCCCCCTAGTCACACTCAAATACCTCGACGTCCCCCATTTCACCTTTTTAAACCTCTATTTCATGTCCAGATCTATCTCCAAGCACCACCATCTTAGTTTTTCCCCAAGATGAATGCCCTGCAGGAGAAGTCATCTGCCCACACTAGCTTGCACTATGAAATTAACACACATGCCCAGTTCAACTCTTGGGCAACCGATATTGTGAACATTCTGCTATTAATCCATTTGTCATAAAAAATGAACAAATAGATATTACAACAAATGAAGACCTAATTTCAATTAGGGAGCTACCGGCTCCCTCCGTGCAATATGTGAAAAAACAGAAATTGGCGAGGAGCTGTGCTCCCAGCCACTCCCCCCAAATCCCTCCCCCCTCCCATGCACCCTCCTCCCTTTACGGGGGGTCAATATGACCCCCACATTGTCATAAGGAAGGTTAAAATCTATCTTCTGCCTTTAATTGCTGTGCTGAGAGTAGGGGCATGTCTACTAAACCTTACCTGCAAGGCTCAAGATTTACCTGTCAGTGCACACTGGTGGTCGTCCTAAGCCAGAATGCTCAGTCAAATTGCATGGCATGGGAGCCTTTCCAAACCCCACAAAGCTTAGGTTGCAGAGCCCTCCGAGTGGCAATTTATGATCAACAAGATTGTTTAGGGTCCCCTCCCCATTACTACTTACGGCCCACATCCACAACTATTGGGTGGGGGCTGGAGTGGTAAAAATAGGTTCCTCTTATAGTTTAATAGCACCCACTCACAAGGCACAGGCAGGGGCTGAAGGGAGACACTATGCCTCCCACTCCTGTTAATTATTATTATAATAAGTGCTATATTCACTATTTATTGAACTGGAAGGGACTCACTGCTTAGTTGACATGCCCCTACTTTCAGAGAGGCGCAGGAGGAAGAATTTTAACTCTTTACAAATACAAAATATTTTTCTTCATATTAGTAAAGTTGGCTGAAAGATCAATTTTCTACTCTGCTTTTTAGCAGATTGCTCCCTAGTCCTTGTGGGATTTAGGGGCTATCTACTAAACAGCAGCAAGATGCAGCCATGGCCCTGAATTTAATTCTCCCAAATTAAAATCCGAACCCATTGACTGAATTTCATCCGAACATGAATGGCCTGTTTGGACGTAATTTCGTCAGTACCGTAGTCTAAATGACATGATGTTCTGAAATAGCGATTGTAGGAAACGCGATAACATGGAGGGGGAGTATGATGGGGAAATTTTCTTTGACACGGGAAGTTCAGCTTACTGAAGCTCCTCCTTGAGTCAAAGAAAGTCAAGCTTGGAAAAATACATAAGACAAATAGTACCTACTCTTATGTTTAAGAAAACTAGATCAGAAATAAAAAAATAAAAATAAAAAGAACAGACTCTGAGATAGGCAAGATTGAGAAATGCTTGACAGTGCAGCTTTAAACTAAATTAATTACATCATCAATTCACCACAATTACTGATTTAAAGGGACACTATGGGCATCCAGACCACTTCAGCTCATTGAAGTGGTCTGGGTGTATAGTCCCAGAGTTTTTCCCCCCCAAATGTGCTGATTTAAGTACATAATCATTTCACAAAGTTAGATTTACAAATTATTGACATGATACTCAAATATTACTAACCTATTGTAAGCGCCAACACTTGGACTGTGATCCCTTTCTCGATCCCTCTCCCGATCTCTTTCTCGAGGACGCTCGCGATCTCTATCCCTCTCCCGATCTCGTTCACGGTCTCGATCCCTCTCCCGATCTCGGTCTTTCTCTCGTCTAGGGTAGTAATCCCATTGTTTGGAGGTGTCTACCAGACTTGACCATGGACCAGCAGAACCAGGCATGTGCGGAAAAGAGACTGCGGGTAGAAGGGGAATAAATGTCAATACGTATATATAATTTAGTATCACTTGTTCCTGTGAAGAAAAGGTTTAACATTATCTTTTGCTATAATCATTTTTGCAGGATTGTGAGATACAGCAAAATGAATAGAGTGCACATCTTAATATAGTTTAGCCCCACTGAGCTTAACAATCAAGAACAAGGCTGGTTGTCTGACTGACAGCCAGGGGGGTCTATAAACGTTCATTTATAAAAGTGACAAACTTATTAAAATGAACAAAAATACAAAAAAATAACATTTAAAATAATATTGACTTAAGTCAGTGCTGCTCATAGAAACGCTATAAGAAGTGCCCAATTCTGCTTTGCAATACAGTTTGCAGAACAAGTGAGGAAGGAAACCCTCTGTGCTATCTTCTTGGCAGCTGGGAGGTGTCACTAAAGGGGTTTCTAAAAGTACTTCCCCTGGATTGCATACCAACTGATACCAGTGAGTAAGTATGTTGGCAGTGACATGGAAGCAACCAGAATGCATTGCCTCCTGGGTGTGAGCACTTTAAAGTCCAAAGACTGCTCCAGTCTCTGGTCAATGGTGCCAACGTCCAAGCACCAGTTATCAGTGACAGGGACTATATATTTGTACATGCAAGCACTTGTTCCTACACAGCATGCCTCTGAAAGTCAGCACGCCATACTCAACTCCAATCTCTCAAATTTTGCTCCCAAGCATTGTACGTTGACAAAATTAGTAACACTTAAACGCTTATTAGGAAAATACCATCGCACAATAAACTTCAATAAGTGGACACAAGCCACCTAATCAATGCAGTTGCACAGCCTGTTATCGAAGAAGCGAGATGTGGTGTTAAGACATTCTCCATTTCACACAAAAGTTTGAATCACAAAAATCCAACATTTACAGTGGTGATGCCAAATGATGTCTGGGAAGGCATCCAAAAGTACCATTAAACTTAAGTCTTATTCTGTCAGACATTTTATTGTACAGGATGCTCTGTGTCGTTAAGCATTCGTCTTATTTATTCATAAAATGCAACAGACAAAAACAGCATTAAAGCAGTTTAAGATTAAACAGGATCAACAACACAAAGTAGATCACCTCAACCAATGACAATTTAATATCATGTTACAATTTGAGAAAAACAGGTCTTTGAACTAGGAGCCCTGACATAGGTCAATAAATCTTCCCAAATTAAAGATCACGAGCTCAAGTTAGGACATACAGTATTTAAGAAGTCCAAGTAATGTGATGGAATGAGAGTCTTTGGTCAATACAAATGTTTAATGACATTGGTAAACCAATTAATGGCAGTGCTTTTCAATTGCTGTGCCTCAAGCCAACTCAATGTGTGCCACAAAATACCGACTTTAACATGTTGAAGACAGCCCTTAAAAAAAAAAAAATAAATAAAAAAAGTGTCATTTAACAAGGGTCACCATTAAAACGGGTTCCCATTTGACAATAAACTCAAATAAGTAAACTCGGCTAAAGTATGCATATGCCTCCACTATCTCAGCGAGAGATCAAAGCTCCTGCTTTGGAGCTTCCGTTAGCCAATGAGCTGGCTCTGCAGGGCTTGGCTCACGGGAACCAAGAGCATCAACTTATTAGCTGTGGTAGTGGAGGTCCGGAACATCGCCCGATGCACCCCAATATTCTTTTCATCACTGACAAAAGCCCTGATTTTGGCAAGACACATTGTGTGTTTTTTGCTTTGACTCCATTTAAGGATTTACCCAGTCTCCTTCATATTGATGAGTATAATACATGCTAATGAATAGATCATTCAGTATTCAAAGTACAGACTTCACTCAAGATACCTCCATTAAGATAAATTAGAGCTTCAACTGAAATGTCAGAGCAAACATTCACTTAAATAGAACAGGGAGGGGGTATAGCTAGCCTCATACCATTCATCAGTTTCAAATAAATGGAATTAATCAGTTTCATGAAAGAGGCACCATGAGAGAAAATATTTATAGTGGAAAATGCATATGTGAACAGATATCAACGTCTAAATATACATAAATAAAACTATGCAATCTTTACACATACATGCACAGGTATAAAAATAAGCATCTTTAGTTTCTTGCAAAAAAAAAAAAAAAGTATTGTAAGACTTGTACATTGTTCATTATGATGGAGATTTCAAAAGAAGCCTAAAATGTACCAATTAATAATAATAATAATAATAATAATTAGTAATATTCCACAACTATGAATATATGTTTTCTATAAAGAATAAAGAATGTTGCTTGTCTACATGATTTATTGTTTTGGAACTTACACTAAAGCCAGCATAACTAGGACAGACAACAAATGCAGGTCACACAATCACAAGTCAGAATGCATGGAAGAAGTATGAAAAAAAAAAAAACCCAAACAAAAAACAACAACCCACAGTTAATTTAAAGAAGTTCAATATCCCAGCGTATATTCTGCCAAAAATATAATTCCCTGTCCAAGGCAGGCCGCCAGGAATAGCAAGCAGCAGCTGCATTTGCTGGCCTACTAATTTCCTTGACTTGTCATGATGTCAACAAGATGTGCAATGTCTTCTGGGGATTCAGATGTAACATGCTATCTAAAAGCTTGGTTTCAATTTAAGCATCAGCTTTCATGTTGCAGAATGTGTCCAATTACCAATACATAGTTTTAACGACTGCTGTAATGCCACTACATATTTGAGGAACTGCTTTTGAGAGGGAGAAGTATAACTTTGATATTGGCTAAAGCAAGTAAAAGTATTTACATGAGCAATGCTATCAAAATAACAGTTTCAGAATTAATGCCAAATGGGCGGTAGAGTTTGAATGTTAAAAGCATTACATTTTTAAATTACAAAATTAATTTTACTCCACCCATTCAAGAAATATTTCTACCACACATTTAACAAAGACATGGTCTTTTGTAGGTTTCTCTGCATTTGCTTTGAAATTGCTGGACATAAACATACATGTCTTGGACTCCTACAGCAAAAGTGACTGATGCATACAAAGCATGTAAGAGGAGCTCAGCTAAATGGCAAGCCCTAAGTGACAAGTCTCTGGTATGACCATAGATATTTCACTAGATGTCAGAGAACCTTCTGGCACTCAAGTTCACAAAGAAGGTATCCACCAGTTAAAGAGGACATGCTTGTTTACAGTGCCAAAATGAGGTCTATAGCTAAAAGTGTTAACGAACACATGTTGCAAATGCTCGGTTAGGAATTTCACACGAAGCAGGGCACATTTTTTCTGTTTTTTTTTTAAAGTCTGAATCCAAACCATTTAACAGGCTTCTAACTGCATACTAAAAGTGGCCATTTATAAAGATAAAAATGGGATAGAGTTCTAAAGGTGGAGCAATTAGCCAGCATGTCCTATTTGTTTCAATCACTACATTTATAATAGCATTTTATACATCAATTTCTTATTGACATGAATATATACATACATATATACATATACATATATATATACACAAAACAAAAACTGTATATAAAACCAGGAGCATTGAGAGACTTTTCAAACCATCTATTTTGTCTATATTGCGGCAGCTTGCTTGTAAGCTCACGGTTTAGCAAATAAGCCATGCATTTTATTCATAGGTCAGCTACAACATGTGATTTATAACATTTCTTAATGTATGATTTTCATAGAAAAAACTTAATTTATGGAGATATACACAACACTCACCATACATGCAAGCTGGATACAGCTGTGGATATGTATTTGAAAACACATTTTAAGCATGTCTGTAGTACATGCATCCATCTATTCACTTGAAAACCATGTACCTATTGCCTTCATTTAACCCCTTAAGGACACATGACATGTGTGACATGTCATGATTCCCTTTTATTCCAGAAGTTTGGTCCTTAAGGGGTTAAAGACAGCGGTAATCTATAAATTGTTATGGCGTGATACAGCAGCTTCATGTTGCATACAACTCTAAGCAATCGGCGCACACCCAAGTAGTTTGTGATCAGTTGAAGATTTGAGCAAAGTACTTCTTAAAGATTGCTAAGCTTCCCTTCAGCAAGGACAGAGGCATCAAGATGGCAAAAGACATCCAGCACTTGTAACAAAAACGCCTACAGAACTGAGTGAAAGCAGACTTCTTTAGAGTTTGTCTTGTTGTTCATTTTTTTTGTAATACACAAGTAGCTGGAAAAATTCTCAATTGTACAGCGCTGCGGAATTTGTTGGCGCTTTATAAATGCCAGTAATAAAAATGAATAAATAAGTTACACAGCATTGAAATAATTTTGAGTATGTTTAGTTAATCGAATTTCCACAATTATCTTTCTCTCTTAAATGCTTTTCTAGAGGGGTTTATTTATGGAGATTCTGGATAAAGTTCCAGAAAAGAAGACGAGAGTCAATCCTCTAATTTAGCAAAGTAAGGAAGAGGCACTTCAACAACAACAGAGAAAAAAAAAAAAAATAATATTTTCACACTAGTAGTCCTTAGTAGTAAGTGTTATTACAGCTCTAAGCAGGTCACCATTAGAGAAAACAAAACAGTGAACAGTGTAATGTATTGAATTTAAAAGTGTAGATCTGGAAAATTAGCCGTCAGATATAGTTGATATAGACTTTTTTAGCTAAATGTTTATAATTATTTTTTTTTTCAATGAACAACAATGTTCGTGAATAACCATCATGTAAAATATTTACATTACATTTGCCCTTTCAAAAAGACATTCCAGAACTTCATCATTGGCAACACTGAATTCTTGTCTTGGTTAAAAATCTAAAAATAAAAAAAAGGGACTTCAAAGAGAATGTCCCATAGCCGAATTTGAAAAAAAGTCTCCAAGTCAGCAATGCATCAAATTTAGCTACTTTGGCCTTAAATTGGAAATGCACTTGAAAAATGGTACTTTTCACTGTAGTGAACATATCTCTGTAAATGGTTTATGAGAAATAACACTTCATCAAGCTTTACCAATTGGTTGCTTTATTCAGAAAGGATCTTCTCATACAATTTACATTCTATACCTGGCTGTAAAGGGTTTCTATTGCATTTCTCAGCAGAGGCCCAAGCATGCATCACAGGATGCAAATAAGTATGTTTTAACATTACCACTTCAACAACAGTAACATGAGTGGGGGAATGAGGAAGCGTCACTTGCAAAGAACATGGACTCTAATTTTCGCTTTTCAAATATGTTTGAGTCTCTTAAAAGAAGCGATTACAATTTCAGATTAAAAGTATGTGAGAGTGTGCGTTGATAGGAGTGCAAAACCCACTCCCCCCAAAATGATGTCAATGATGTTATAATTATGGTCTGGCCTAGAACTGGCTGTACAAAACTCAGGCTGTGGATAAACGAACAGAAGTCACAGGATGACTGCTGTTTAAGGAGCATTTTCTACATATCCTAAGTGATGAAATAACTGCTACTGGAGATAAATTACTTTTATTATGAACCACAGCTGAACAGGGGCTTCATTTTGGCCAGAGAGGGTTCTGCCTCTAGCTGCAAACATCCCCTCTCACCTGCAGGTACTTTGAAGGGGAGTATCCCCGAATTTTTCCGCATTAAATGTTAAGGCATTCTACATTAAGAAATAAAAATAGGGACCTGGAGTATATTTTATTCCCCATACAGGATTTCAGCAAGTGTGTAAAAAGTGAAAATAATTTTTTTTTAATAAATAAAAAAAATAATAATTAATAATAATAATACTGAAAGCTTACCACCTCCATATGGGAATGCTGGTGTCGACCGTCCATCATAGCCTGTAGAGTGTCCGCTGGAAAGGAATTAAAATAATTAGCAAACATATAGTAATTTTAATAGCGGTCATTAAAGCTTACCTTGTTAAATTGTGAATATTTAATAGTATACAAAATTATTCAAAATAACCTTTAGTAGGGTGGGCGGAGCCAGCTATCGGCATGAACAGTCGCACATCTCCTGCTCTCCGACGACCTCAATGCTACAAAGCCCAAATCCAGCCGCACAAAGCACTCCATCAAACTGCAGATTACCTGCTAACACCCCTCCACCGATGGGGAGGAAAATGAAACAGATGCGCCTGGATCGCCCATGGCACACATAGGCGACCTGCTGAGAAGGCTGCATCGCGCGACGGGAACCTACTCGGCGGCTGACCTCGGACGACACGTCCCTTCATTGCCCTGAGACTCTGGAATATAGGGGACCTTCCAAATCCACACAACCGACGGCAGGTCTCCCGGTCACCACTGAGATACTCACCTCTCTGACCTACGCTAGTCGCTCTCCACGGAGATCTCCCAGGTAAGGGAGGATGTTAAAGGGTTCACTGATCACCTCTCAGCAGTGGAGCAAACTACTCAGACACTGGCAGCACAAATGATAGAGCTCCAGCATCAGTTCAAAGACCTTTCCTCAGCTCACACTGCACTCACCCACCAACTAGCAGCTATGGAAGACAAAAGGAGGTGGAAGCACATCAAAATAAGAGGCATCTCAGATAATATAGCCCCAGCTGAACTTCCCCATCTCCTGAGAAGGCTTTTTGCGGCCCTCCTGTCCCCTAAGCACGCCAAAGGAATACAGCTGGATGGCATGTTCCGCCTGCCCAAGCCACCACAACTCGCAAGCTGTGCAACAGGTGACGACCTGGTCAAATTTCAAAAAGGCTGCTTTTATGGGTGCCATCAAGGGGAAGAATCCCAACGTTCTACTCTGATCTTTCACGCACAACCCTGCAATGGCGAAAGTCTCTTCGACCACTTACAGCGACATTAACAGCCAAAGGAGTGGTGTACCGTTGGGGACCATCACACGTACTCCTCATACAATACCAGGGCAAGGAATATAAAGCGGCAGACATAGCGGAGATGGACACTGTCTTAGCAGCTATGGGACTCCTAACCTTGACCACTACTTCTTGGGATCCAGCCAATATTGTCCCATTTGTTCCAGCTTCCAGAGGCACACCTGGGATGAAGACCACCTGAACCAGGACTGTTTTTGTTTTTATGCAGTTCTCATTTTTTCAAGTTCTCCCTTCTATTAATACTACTACTATAAGTTGTATGCTGTTTCACACACACAGGCCGATAATAATGTATACCCCAGGGTTACCTGCACGCATGAAGCAGGACGGTTACACGGCGGCCACCCTCCGCCGAAACCAGGCATAACCCGGACACGCTGGCTCCTTTCACTACTTACTCCCCCCAGCTCCACTCAGTCTACTTCACAACGCGGGTACTAACAAGGAGCTGTTCCAACATCACACATCAGTATCCTCCGTTCACTATAGTGGCATACGGCAGCCTAGGCTATGCACTAGCCCCCTCCTTCTAATTTGCCTTATACACACCCACATGGTCTATAAATGGGGTTTCCCTGTACCCCCGCAACAAAGGCATATCGACCTACCCCCCCTAGACCTCAACACACATGAGACAAGGGCACACTATGCCTTCACTTACAAGCTCACTCTAGACCACAAGCACTCATGCCAAAACGAATCCTATGACCGGAAACTACTCTTTTCATACATTAACATTAACTCTACGTTATTATATTCTGCAAATTATGTTGTCCAATTTTTTTTTAAATTGTGCCGTTGCTAAAGATGCCATGCTGTTATACTTGATTGCTAATGAGCTTGTTATAGCTGTCGTGGCTATCCAAGCATGTTGTTCATGTGTACACAACAAAAATAAAGATTTTAAAATAAATAAATAAAAAAACCTTTAGTATCTAGTTAGGGATTTTAAATGGACACTATAGTCTTCAGAAACACAGCTTAATGTATTTGTTCCAATGAGTATAGTTAGTGCCTGCAGGCATTTTCATATACAAAACACTGCCCCCATGGCTGGGATCATCAGAATTGAAAATCATAGCCAATCCGAAAGAATCAGATTGGTTGAGATAGTAAATTCTGATGTCAGGCAAAGAGGCAGTGCTAGCATACCCGCATGGCACTGGAGTAAAGAAGAGTAAACATGCCTTTTACAATAGATACCGACGGCCTGAGGGGCTAGATAGTTCTATAACAGTTATGATAGAAATACATGTTTATATGTCTGTCACTATGGTGTTCCTTTTAATATTGGAGGTCTATTTGTCTTCACATTTGGCATCACACATGACAACTTTTGTTCAATTAATTGAGGTCTCAATGCTAACTGATCACCACATTTGAGGAAAAGTAGTTACAGAGAAAAGATTGCCCCCACACGCCACGCAGATGTACGATGTGTTTTATTTTGTATGTAAAAACAAAACACACTAAAATAATCCCCCCTTCCCAAGGAATCTAGACATTAAAAGGAACACTCCGGTCACTCTCAAGGGAAAGTAGTCAAACCATGTTATAAAAGTCTGACAACTTATCTGGGCTCCAATGGGAGTTTGCTGCCACCTGTTCTGCAGATGCAAGCACTTGCACCAAGTTAAGCCCAGCTGTTCTTGGCATCAGCTGAGAGCTCTCAGTTTGTAAAGGTTAGCACATTGACTGAGGGGAGCTATAGGTGTACTAGAAATTGCAAAACAAAGAAAAATAAAGAAGTAGCCAACATCCAATAATGCAGGTTTAAAGGAGATGTTTCACGGAAGTTTGGCAACAACTTGTAGTTCATCCCAAATGCGCTCTGATCTCTCGCAAAATGCTTAGTAGACAGGTCAAAGATGTTGCTGCAGTTGCCCAGTGCTGGAACTAAACATTGGGTAAATACTTCTTACTTTGGAAATTTCTTAATTTTCTAAACTTATGTATAGATTACACTATTTGCAGATAAAAATAATGTTTTTCATTACAGATCACTTTAGAGACATAACACGATTACCATCTCATTGAATGGTTCTAGTGCCTGTCTCTATTCAGTGTTCCTGTGGGCACTGCGACGAGCTGAAAGCGGTCAGTTAAGACTCTCAGCCAATCACTGCAGCCCATGGCTGCTTATGCGAATTTCAAATTCCTTCCTCATTAGCCTACGCAGCACAAAAGGGATGGGCTACTGGGGACTTCCAATACAACATTTAAACAAAAATAGGTTAAAACTGAATGGAAGGGTAACAGAAGGGCTCCAGACAACATGGTCATTGCAATGGGATAAAGTAGTTACAGGTAGTTTATATGGGTTATTCTACGGTAGGCTTCATAAACAAAAAAAGACTTAAAATGTAACACTGAAGGGGGTGGGGGTGGGAAATAACCTCACATATATGCAGTCAACATTCTTTCTATTTTTATCAGCCAACACCTGAAAAGCAGGTAGACTGCAGAAATTGTGAGTTCCACACTTAAAATCACTTCCTGCTTCCTCCCCCCCAATCAGCTGTAGTCACCTTAATAAATGTTTATGGTTAAGGCTCATTTCTCAGCTATGGCTAAAGCGTGCCAAGAAGAATGTTGTTCCATTGGCTCAAACTCCAGTGGAAGTAAATTGGAAATTGTATGTAACATCACATTCTTAAATAAAAGTCTACACGGTTTTAGAATATCAAAGAGCCATTGGTACAAACTTTTTCATAAATTCTGATTAACATCTGTTTCAGCCTGCTGAGTTGGCAGACAGAAATGTGTTTTCTGCTTAATGCAGTAACAATTCATGTTATTGCAAAATGTATGTCTTTTGCAAGCAAGTTGATTTCATAGGGGAAACAGAAAAATAAACACACACTTGTCAAGGTAGTTTAAAAAAAAAAAAAAAAAAATTAAAGAAATTTTTTATTATTTTCTATAGTTGGCAGATAAACCTCTCGTGCACAATCAATAATCCAAAATAACTCTCCAATCCTTTTTGCTAAGTAAGCCACACTGGCAAAAATATATACATCTGTAAAAATGGCAAAATGATTTGAAACAACTAAAAATAACCATTTCCATGTATTTTCTCGTAACACTATTCGTGGAAAAAAAAAAAAATCCAGTTTACTCCATCTAAAAGAGTTCTCTTCCCACTGTAGATGCTAGAGAGTTCAACACCAACAACCCCTCACATTCCCTCCGCCCCCAACTTTCTCCCAAACTGCTAAGAAGCATTCCTAATTGCTTTGACTCCAAAAGATTATTCTGGCGCCAAATCATGCTCCTTAGCAGTGTGATGCTAGAAGAGACTACAATAATTTACAAAATGCAGTGCTTTACAAGTTTAGACAAGATCTAGGAACCAGAAATGATGTCCCTACATAGGAGCATCTATAATGTACTCACATTATACAAACACAAGGAATCCACAATACTTACAGCACTCCTTTATACCTAAAGTACCCAGATGACATCCTAAAGATATGGAAGTATGGTACCCAATACACAAAACATTCAAAATACACCCAGGACTACAGATCTCACACTCGATATAACAGAGGTTTCCCACAAAAATGATGTAACATCCTTTCAAAAATTGGAACTCCGATTAAATATCAGGAGCAAAGCCAGCACAAGCCAAACAGAGCCCTGGCCAATCAGAAGCTCCTCATAGAGATACACTGAATCAATGCATCTATAAGGAAAGTTCAGTGTCTGCATGCAGAGAGTGAAGACAATGTGCAGCACTGCCCCAGGAAGCACCTCTAGTAGCCATTTGAGGAGTGGCCAGTGAAGTTTTCCCTAGGCAGTATTTATGGTAAAAAAAAAAAAAGCCTGAAGAGAATAAGCTGTAGTTGTTCTGGTGACCAAAGTGTCCCTTTAAAGTTTTTGAAACCAAAAATGACTCCAGGCTTTATTATTTTACACAGAATTTTTTTTTTTTTTTTTTTTTACACACAATCACAAATACATATTTTAGCACATACCTTTCAATAGTAGGAATAAGTGATGGTGGCGGTCCACCATGTGGAGGTGGAAAACCTGCAATTGTAAAAGCATACATTAACTTCATTTTCACAATGAATACAGAAAAAAACAAATGTAAAAGTTTTTATTTTTTTTAAATAAAAAAAAACAAAACAAAAAAAAATAAAAAGACACCTTCCACACTTACCTGGTGGAGGAACAGTGATGGGAATTCCTAGAATTAGAACACATTAAAAAGTGATTAGATATTTGTTTGCAAAAGTTAGAGCTTCACAAATCATTTTTAACAAGGAAGCAAATTAGATGCCCATGCCCAACTATACATGGATGAAAGGTATAGTTGGATATAGTTCAGAGCGGGAGGGAGAGGGTAAAAAAAAAACACATGGGATAGTGCAGGAATTATTGAGAGCAGTGAAAGATCTAAGGTGGATCTGAAACTTGTGTTTACAGACATACAGAAACAAGAAGGCAGAATGAAGCACCCAGGTACAACTCAGGAGTCGGGCTTTGGTCACTAAAATATTTGTAATTCAAGTATACCTGTCAGTTGTTAAATTTCACAATAAACAAATATTATGTTTATTACTACACCAAGAGGAATCTGAACAAAGGTTGGAGTGTTGTATGTGATTTCTCTACAACAGGGTGCTATGCAAAGTACAATGAAAAGCCATAAAATAAATGCCAGACATAATTGGCATGGGAACTCGCAAACACAATCACGGAGAAAAGTGTGGTGATAGGGTAAGCAGCAAGCTGAAAAATGAAGTCAGAGAGCTTCAATGGAGAACTCAACATCAGTGTACAGACATTAATAGATTGACTTTGCTTGGTGTATCATCTGGAGATGAAATCTGCCTGAAAAGTCTTCTATAGACTGCTCAAGTAATGGTACAAGTGGGCTAAAAAATGGTCTGTGGCTTCCTAAGAGGGCAACCACCTACAGAGCAAGTTATTAAACTTTTATCTATTCAAAACGCCTCCAAATGTTTTTGGCTAAACTAGGTGACCGAAACATGAGTTTACCAAAACAACCACAAAGGAATGGATTTCATATAACATACAGCAGGTAGAGAGACAGAAAACAGAAGGGCAGCACATTTACATCTATTACAGTTTCATTTCAACTCATCTGCTCAGTTTAACACTCTCCTGCATGGAAAATTCAGGCAAGAATGTTGATTCTCTTTTAGCTAGTACTTTAGCAAAAGTTATCTTGCGTGCAATAGTATTTCCTTGAGACCAGGTTTATAGGATTCTTGTGTTTAGACTGTAAGCCTCTCTTATCAGATTGTTTTGGCATGTGAAATTGTAGCTTGTAAAATCCTATACTTACTGTATCTAGTACTGTGAAGTTTGATGTCCCAGTGCTTGTTTGATTCATTAATGCTCATAACACTCAACTATATACTTCTCATGTCATGAAGAAAATTAAATCTTTTATTTGAGTAAATAGCTTATGCTAAAAGCATTTTTAATGTCTAAACTATTCAGAAACAAACAAGAGGTCTCAAAACTTACAGTGCACAACTACTCCGGTTGTAAGCCAAAAAAAAAAAAAGAATCCCCTCCTAACAAACGCTCTTTCCCTGTACTGGGACATCTGAAGCAAGTCATGATGGACTTCACAGCTAGAAATGAATACTACTTCACCCATACATTATGCAAGTATATGCACAACTTTGCTTTCTTAGAAGGATCATTGAAAGCAATTAGGGAGAGCAAAAAAAAAAAAAAATATATATAAAAAAAAAAACCCAGTAGGAATGTGTGCAAATGCTCCCACTACATTTTCTACAAATGCTGCTTTAGGGTTCCATTGAAGCTACATGCATGGGAATTTGTTGCACAGGCTAGGGTGCTGCATCACAGAAAGAAGAGAAGTCAGATCCTATAAAATCGAGTCTCTCCCAAAAAAGCCAAATATATATACTACTTTGCCTAAGTTTTGCCTTTACGGTCTCTAAGCTTAATACAACAAATCAAGATATTAAAGGTCAGGAATAGAACGGTACCATATCTGGATGGTTTCTGCATGGAGAAAGACAACTGCAATCCAGATCCTGAAAAGACAGAAAATCTAGCACTCAATTCAAACGGTGTCAACAATTTCACAATACAGATTTACACCACCATTAACAATCCTGGTTTCATTCACTCGGAAATGTTAATTGGTATTCGGAATGTCCAAGCTATAACGATACCACGGAGCACTGGCAAGCCAGGACATTGAACATTGCACACTAATAGTTCTGTTTTCCACAATAAGAAATCGAAAACAATTTAACGCATCACCCATAATGAATGAACATCATTACAGGGTACAGATATCACGAAATCCTTGAAAAGATTCCCCATCTGTAACCATTTTAGAACAATTAAACCAAAAGATGAACCCTGGGAAACCTTCCATAATGTTGTATTAAGCAAATGTTAAACATGGCCACTTATCTCTAATTGAAAGATCAAAATGAATGCATTAAAAATGGGTTGCACTTTGCGCCAGTTGGATATTCAGAACACAACTATGTGGGGACCTGCCTGCCGGCAATTACAGTGTTAAGTCAAGTCTACAGGTCACGTTACAGAAATAAATCAAGTGCAGTTTTCCTTGAAATGAAAAAGAATACAGTCTAAAAATGATGACTTCAAAGCAGTTTTTCTGCTTTCAAAAAGAACTTCCACAGGATGTTTTATATTTGCAATTCTTGATTTTTGGCTAACTCTTCTAGTTAACGTGAGGTAACAACTTTGCCGTTCCCCCCACCAGTGAACCTAGGAGGTATGGCACAGGGCTATTTTTAAAACATCTTTGAAGATAAAGCGCTGGCTGCAGCACAAATAAAACAAGGACCATTGGGAGCCAAAGCCACAGCCCTGCCTGGTTTGCTGCAGATGTACAGCAAGCATTGATTTATGGAAATACGAAAAAAAAAAAAAGTGCAAGTGTTACAAGAAAAGTTAAAATATTGCAAGTAGCGACTCTGCACATCACAAATGCCAACATGGCAGCTTCCATCTAATGCATCCTAGCAGTTCGTATTTAAAGAAGAATACAAACTGGAGTTTACAGACCATATGGTAATTCAACTAGCTAACGTCTGAATGTAAAGTTTAATTAAAAAGTATGTGTGACTAAATAGCCTTTTAGCTTACTAAATATACCTACAGAAACTTCCCTGCGTTTTGCATTTAAATGGCTTTTAAGTTTACTGAAGATTGAAAGACCCTAACAATTATTGAAACTTGATTTTTTTGCAGATTATGCATATTAATTTTAAATATATACTTTTAATGAGAAACTCCTAATCCACTTTCTCAAACAACCAGGCTGTGAAATTTCTACTTCAAAAGGATTTTGGATGCGTTAATGGGTTAGAGTATTTATATCAATCCAAAATGGCCTCCTCCACTAAGGTTTGATTTTATAAAGGCAAAAGTTGCCAGTGAAGTGAGCAGACAAATTGCTGCCCGAATTTGCCATTATGGAGGCATATCAGCATCATTCTGCATAGCCGAATAAGCGCTTAGCCAGTCAGGAGGAAACTTATGTTCTGACTTTCTACCATGTGTATGAACAACATGTTTACTAGTGGTTCTTTAATTTATTAACAAAGGACAGAACTAGGAGACTCTAGTCTGTCAATGAAAACAGGGGATGAACTGACACAGATGCTTTGAAAGGAAGCTATCAATATTTTGACAAGTCATACATGACTTTAAAAGTAGACAGGTCACTTTAAAAACACTTGACAATAACTGGTGGTAAAAAAAAAACAAAAAAAAAACCTAAAGCTATTTCAAACAAACTGCATGGGTGACACATGTTCATCTACAGATAGCTATACATGTCACTTATTGATTGTGCTTATGAACTTACCACCAAAAGGTAAATAAATATAATACACACAAAATTTGACTGCTGCAATATATGCAGAGTGGCTGAACATAGAGATGCCTCTGCACCAAATAAAAAAAAAAAAAAAAAAAAGTGAAATGTGACTGTCCAGTGTTACCTTAAAATTAGTTATGGAATACTTCTAAAATACAACATTTCAACAATATCTAGCATTCAACAACTCTCACATTTAGTTGAGCAAGGGATAGAACCTATTTTGATATGTCTGCAAATGAGCATATCCAGAAAACTTATTACAAGGGCACAAGATTGAGATTACACAATATATAAATTTAACATACACACACAAAAAATATTTGGGAAACAAAATAAGTTTAGCAAGTGATTAATTAGTAGAAAAATGCCATTTCCTCCATTATTTCTAGGAAAGGATTCACCAACTTACAAATAAAATTGCCAAAGAGGAAGAAAACAAATTGTCTTTATATTTAAGAAAAGAGAAAAATACAACTTGCATTACAGTTTAATAAGCATGTTAATTGTGTCCAACTAGCCATGGGGTAATGGCGTGTGTGGCTGGTAATGAAATTTCTTCAGGAGTCAGAATAATAAGTTTAAAAGGGACACTATAGTCACCAGAACAACTACAGCTTAATGTAATTCTGGGGAGTATAGTCATTCCCTGCAGGCTTATTGCAGGAAATCCAGTCTTTTCAGAAAAACAACTCCACTGGCCACTCTTCAGATGGCTACTAGAGGTGCTTCCTGGGGCAGTGCTGCATGGAGACACTGATCTTTCCTCATAGAGATGCACTGACTAGGAGGAGATGCCGATTGACCTTGGTGGCTTCTGGCTCCGCTTCCTATAGGAAAACACTGTGATTGGCTGAGATCATCACTTCTGATATCAGCAAAGGAGGCAGATCAGGGACAGAGCCAGCACCAGCAGACTGAAATAAGCAAGATTTTACTATATTAAGTGGAGGAAAGGGTGGGGTGGGGCTAGATAGCAGTTTCGACATTGTAGGGTCAGGAATACATATTTGTGTTGCTGACCCTATAGTGTTTCTCTAACCAATATGATTTATACAGTGCACTTCAACACACTAAATGGTACAATAAAACATTTGCCTTACCTGGAGGTGGGATAAGTGGAGGTGCTGTGGTGACATTTGGAGGAGGTGGAAATAGTGGAGGAGGAGGAAGATGGGTAGGTGGAGCGCCAGGGGGGAAAAATGGTGGTGGTGGTTTGATGAAATTGTTGTCCACTTCAGATGGGGACTGTTCTGAAACAACCTATAAAATTAAATGCAATATGTTTATAGTTTCTCTTATATTTGCTTTTGAAAGGAACTTGAGTTTATAATGACAGATCCACCACTAAATCTAATCTCACAAAATCAAATTGTAACAGTTATTTGAAATCGAGAGGTACCACTTTGAAAAATAAATAAATAAAACCATCCCACCTTATTGCAGATTTAAGCATACTACTATGCAAGTGAAGCTTGGCACATAGGCTCTTTGCATGTCTCCTCTTGCTTATACTGTCAACTCAGAAGAAAAAGGAATTTTGCACAAATTTGAGCAGATCCACTCCCTGCACAGAAGGGTAGACTCATTTTTCAAACACTGTTTGACCCGGGGTGTATGCATGTTTGTGGGGTTTCTCCACCCCCACGTACTTGCTTTATTAAAAAAATAGTATATAAATATAAAGGCTGTGCTGAAAGACCAATGGACACTTACTTTGTTGCAATATTTACAATAATATACCATCAAAAATTAACAGAATGCCATCAACAATTTAACCAGAGTATGATGTTAACTTGCAAATTAGGATCAAACGCTGAGGAACAGCCAAAAGAAATACACTTACTGAAGTATCAAAATTCACTAACACATGCAGATTTGCTTTCCTGGTTAAGATCCTGTTATAGTATGCCATATACCAGAAAATTTGTATGCAGCAAAACCTTTTGATATTGTAGATAAAGAATATAAAATCAAGGCTATTTCCGGTCTGTACTATTTTCCTGTGTTTAGTTTGAATAGTTACATTTGTAAAGTGAAAGTTTAAAATGTCACATTTGCACAAACAACACACCGAAAAAGTCTTAAAAGAAACTCCAAATATCAGAACCAGTACAGCCCGCTAGAGTATTTTTGGAGCCAGGTGTGCCCGGATACAGTCCCAGAGTAAGAAGTCAAACTGTTTAAGTACAATTTAGCAACTTACTTGGATCCCAGAAGGTGCCTGCCTCCAGTTAGTTCTTCTGAGCTATTCCCTGCTGATTCTTTCAAATCAATAAAACACGACCATGGTTGGGTTTAGCTAAATGGCAGGAGCTTCCACCAGCAAGGGGGGGTGGGGGGTGGGGGGGTGGGAGGGAATAGCAGAAAAACATTGGAGGACACCAGCAAATGTTAATATAAATCTATGACCTTGTGCCTGCAAGTACCTTCCTACCATCCAACTTTTGCTTGGTTGATAGAACCAAAAAGTAAAATGACAGTGTTCTGGAAATTTCAACACAGACAAAAGATATCAAACAAAGCAGTTACGATTTTGTCTTATGAATTTTTTCAATGACTTGCAACCGCCATCACGCTTTATCATTATCTCTGGAGGCTGCTGTGGTCTCACAGAATAATCCATTGATACCAGTGTTGTACTCTGGCGTGACTCCAGGAAGATTTAAAAAAAAACAAAAAAAAAAAACCACAAAGTCACCATCTTGATATTTTGCAAAATATGCAAAGACGCCAGAAGGTAACAAGACGTTTTAAAAAGGATTTAAATTAATCAATGCAGATCCATTGAATATGGTGGCATGACATGATCTTACCAGACAACTTTAAAAATTAATAGTTATCCTACCCCAACCCCATTACAGTCATCAATGAACACATTTCAATTTTAGTTACAAAACTTTCAGTTGGTGAAGGGCTAGGTGAAAACTGCCGTTTCTGATGCTTCAGACTATTTACCATGATGCTCTTCTAGCTTAAAAACAAAAACCTCTACTATGGTTTGGCCGTTTAAAAAAAAAAAAAAAAAGTCAAACTTCTGGATTTTGGCAAATATCAGTACCGGCCACTATTGATACTCATATTGCTGATAATGTGAGAGGCAGCAGTGGCCCAACGCACGCGGTTGGTGCGTCCATAAGGCAGAACACGTGGCCGCATTAGGGCGCACAAGAATAGAGTGACAGGCAGCAAGGAAGCGTATAGCGCTACTCCTACTAGTCACTCTGAGTAGCATGGTTGAGTGGAACAGAGCAGATGGCGGTACAGGAGTTTGTTTCCTGTACCTGACCGGATTGACGGGAAGTGCTCTCTCAATGAGCACTTCCTGTCAGTCCTGCCAGGCACAGGAAACTGAAGCTTCTGTATCTCGGTCCGCTCCGCCACACTACAAGAGAGGTAAACACTAAGGGAACTGGGAACGGGAGGGGTACACACTAAGGGTAGGGGTACACTAAGGGACAGGAACACTAACTATTCTTGAAAACAAAATCTGACTGGCATGTATATTTTATGCATTTACAAAAAACAAAAAAACAAAAAAAGATTTGTAAAAATAATGTTCAGTTAACAGTAGATTTTTTTAGAAATTATTATTTCCTTTCAAAATGGTAAATGTACAGAATATCGGTAAATTATCGGCCTGAAAAGTTCGCGGATTATCGGCATTGGCTCAAAAAAAACACACACACACTATCGGTCGTTCCCTAATATGAATATGGCAAAAGAAAAACAGCCAAAAGTAAGCACTAATACATTTGATCTAACTGCAATACATTCCATTTAGAAGAAGTTTACCTTTAAACAATCTCTTCTCTTACAAAAAGGTATATATAAAAGAAGAATATTGTACCTGTATATTGCTTTCATTTGCACCACGCCGCCGTCCTTCCACACGAGTGATTGTAGTAGTCTGACCAATGACATCAATGGTACCCGACAGCTTCCTACTGTAGATAGAGAAGACGGACACATATTACAGAACAAGAAGGATCTCCTGCAGTACTCAAATGTTCTTGAAGGCAAGCAATGATTGATAATGTCACTATGAAAGTTATAATAAAGTGGGTAAACAAACAAAACAGATACAAAGTTACTTTGAGATGCAGCCTCACATTTGTATTCTCAACGCTATACTGCCCTAGCCACTGTTTAGATGACTAGACCCCTGCTGCCAGAGCTAAATAGGCAGCTTTACCTTGCATTTTCTCCCTTGCAGCGCTGACCTTTGGCATGCAGCTCAACCTCTTTGGCTCAGATCATTGAGGAAAGCATTGGAAGGAAAGTGCAATTGCACGGCAAAACACTGTCACGCTAATAATATCGTCTCTGTAAGACCACCTGATAGAAATAGTGGAGTTTTGTCATTTCTCGAAAGCGCCTCTAAGGTTAAAACATGGGGCACATGGCATCCTGACCACATTGAGATGAAGTGGTTTGGGTGCGTGCAGTGTTCATTTAACCCTGTGAAAGCCTAAGGAATGAGCAATGCTTTGTTCTGCCTCAAAAACAACAAAAGGACCAAAGTAAGGACTGTAGTTACATCAGAAGGCCATGACAAAATGGTTTGCCTAATCCTGGTTCTAAATGTTAACTGGAAGTTGGATTTAAAAACAAAAACAAAAAAACACACAAGTGCGATTAAAAGTAACACTTGTAGAATTTAGACCAAACCTACTTTTTTGTTCAAACCCAAACCTACTTTTTTGTTCCATTAAAAGTAACGGTCACAAAAAATGACAGAGCACACCCTGCTGTCACTGCAATGTGAGGTGCCTTGGATGGAGAAATGAAGGACATTCACACATGCATGTGCTGGACGGGAGCAAGCATAGCGCTCAGCTGTGTCACAAGTAGTTCGGGTGGACAGATAAACCTTCATATAACAAACAAAGTTCATGCAAACCTACATTCCACCATGCTTGCGTCAGGTTACGACTTTGTAGAACCTATACGCGCCATAAAAGTCTTCTAGCTTGCTGCTCCAACTAACCACATTTAAACTACACGTATTGGCATACCCTCTCCCCACACAGGCAAACTGCCTAAAATTTTTCAATAAGTTAACAGACTATCAGAAACTACTACAACTAGTTGTGGCTCTAATATTTCTATATGTTTATTTGCCTTTAAGTATATTGTGTTACCTCTCTGGTTTACATACACTTTACAAACACGTGCATAGCAACCACAGTCCAACAGAGAAGAGTATAATGAAATCTGAATGTTATCCATTCAGTTTTAAAGGGGTTTTAAAAAAACAAAAAAAAAAAACAAAAAAAAAAACACACCTATGTAGGTTAGTTATTAAAAGGGATACTATTTGCACCAAAACAACTTTAGTTTAAATGAAGCAGTTCTGATGTATAGATCATGTCCTACAGTCTCACTGCTCAATTCTCTGCCATTTAGGAGTTAAATCACTTTGTTTATGCAGCTTTAGTCACACCTCACTGCATGTGACTTACACAGCCTTCCTAAACACTAAAAAGGAACATGGATATTTTAGGATCCTTTATGGCAGTGGCTAATTTAGAATATCTTATCTCCTGCTCTGTTAATAGACATCTGGACCCTGCAAGAGCCTCCTGTGTGTGATTTACAAAGCAGGGGGTAAAAACTTCTAAAGTAGGTTTCCATCTGATTTTTTTTTCCTTCCCATGCAGTGTGTTTAGTCACAGCCAGGGGATGTGTGGCTAGGGCTGCACAAACAAACGTGATGTAAAGCATAAACACAGAATTAAATCCTAAAGGCAGAGAATTGGGCAGTGAGACTGCATGGGCATTATCTACACCCCGAATGCGTCACTAAGCTAAAAGTTGTTTTCATACCCATAGTATCCCTTTAAGAGTATTTAGGACATGTTTAGTGAATCATGGGGCAAATTGCAAAGCCACTTAAAGTCTGCTATGAACTACATGCATCCTTCTATTAAACCATTGGGATAATTAGAATTAGGGGATGTGTAAATAACATGGCTGTTCTCCCTAGTTTGTAGATATGGTAATGCTCAAATGCATATAAATATATATGTAAAAATACAATTATTCAGGTTTATTAAAGATATTTGGGCTTTCATTAAAGCAGTAAAAAAAAAAAAAAATAGCAACTCACCTAGGGGGTGCAGCCCCACTTTTAAATACTGTAGTAGGAGATGTGAACTCTTGTTTTATAGTCTGCAGAACAGTCTCTTTCTCTGAATTTCCAGTTCTTCCCTGTTGTACCTTTAAAGGAAAAGGAATAAAGTTGGAAAACAAAAAAAAAAACCTACCCACAAACCTGCCTGCTGTGCCTATATTCTAGCCATGGGGACAAATTTTTTATATATTTTTTTTTCCAATCACAGCTGAACAGTATTAAAGAGTTTGCCACATTTAATAAAAGGGACATTTTAGACGTTGAGATTTGCTGTTTTGTGTGATAAAGCAGCAGAATTGCTGGACAAAAGAAGAGGGAAATCAGCGAGTTAAACATGTGACAAAGATTCCCTTCTAAATATCTGTCTACACATTCCCATCATATATACCATATTTTTTCATGTACAAAACAATGTTTTTTTTCAGTCTACAATTGGGGGTCATCTTATACATGAAATGTCACTGCAGGGGTTAAAAAAAAAAAACCAAAAAAAAAAAACCACACACACACACGTGTGCTCGGGGCCTACGGCAAGATGGCGCCTGCCGCATTTCAGTGTGCGAAGACCCCACACACATACGTGGCCTCCCTCTTGCTGATCCACTTCTGAATGCTGTGGCAAGGAGGAAGATCCCTATATGCGTGGGAGCTGCAGAAGACGTCAGCACTTACCACACCATAAAAAGAGCAGCCATATTAAGGTATGCTCCACCTCAGATAGGTCTTGCTTTCTGATTTATATTTATGGGGGAGGAAATGGGGATCAGGGAGCAGAGGGAATACTACTGTGATATCCCAGCATGCCCTCACACCACCTGCTGTATTGGGGGGAGCTGTAGTCTTCACAGAGTATCATAGAGGAGGTATGGGAATCAGAAGTGTGCAGTTCTCCTCAGAAGTCACCTCTAAAATATCAAAGTTGTCCTATTTGATGTTTAAAATATTGATTTCTTTTTTTTTTTTAAACACGGAAAAATACCGTATATAAAATGTTATGTTAGTGCCTGAGATGTCCTTTTAAAGCGAAATCCACCATGACAAAGCATAGCAATGTATACGTAAATATTAAAGGGACACTCCAGGCACCCAGACCACTTCTACCCATTGGAGTGGTCTGGGTGCCAACTCCCACTACTCTTAATCCAGCAACTGTAATTATTGCAGTTATTTTATAACTAGACAGCCACTAGAGGGCACTTCCTACTTCATAGCACAGAAAACCGGTGCTAGAGCGTCGCTGGGCGTCCTCACGCTGTGTGAGGACCTCCAGCATCGCTCAATTCCCCATAGGAAAGCATTGAAAAGCATTTTCAATGCTTCGCGCATTAGGTCTCCCCGGCCGGTGGGCGGTATCAGTCTTGCCCACTAGCCAATGTAATGCAGAGGAGGAGCGGCGGCAGAAGAAGCAGCGACGTGGCGATGCCTCTGGTAAGTGTAAGCTGCCTCTGGTAAGTGACCGAAGGGGTTTTCACCCCTTCAGCAACCGGGGATTGGGAGGTGGGAACTGCAGTGCCAGGAAAACGGATTGTTTTCCTGGCACTGGAGTTTCCCTATAACGCCACTGCTAAGAACTGAAACGATTTTTAGGTTGTTTTTTGTTGCTTAAATAAAGAACCTGTATTTGCCCAAAAACTTGTATTAGTCCACACTAAACTAAGCCTTGTCTGGTGTATGTATAGAGCAGAAAAAGCTAAAGGAGAATCATTGATACCTAGATATCTCTGTTGGCACTGGGAAGGTTTCAGACGGAACAGGGTTTATAATGTTGTTCACACTACAATGCAGTATTTTACTTAAAAGTAACAAGTAGTACCGTAATTTTATTTGTTGTAGAGGACACAGGAAGTGCTTCGAGACCCATCCGTAACCTTTTCTGCTTCTCACAGTAAGCTTTCCATGTGTCTTCATTAAAACCATAATTGAAATAATCAGAGAGATCAGCACCTGGAGATTAGTGTTAAAAAAACAAAATAAGATTTGATTAGAACTAGAAAAGATGTGACTAATTTCCCCTTGATATGTAATCCAATTACACACGTGTATGAAATACTGAAGTCCTAAACTAATAGAGCTACTTGCCAATACAACGTGTACAGCACTCTGTTTAATATGTCAGTGTCTGAATACACAGAAGAATTTTGTGTCAATACATATGACTAGAGGGACATAATGTGAATGTTGGTGTAGACATCATGTCATTTATACCCATCGACTTTACCAAATCATAGATCGCAAACAATTCCCTAGGTCACGCATACCTCATTTCCCTCACCTTTGAAATCAAATAACCTCTTGCCCTGCCCCTGCAAAACTCATAGCTTAAATTACGCTTTACATGCAAATTTGTGCTAGACCCGTTGGCTAGTGGAAATACAGCATCACGTAGACACTTGTTCCCACAGCTCTGGTGTGTGAAGTACAGCTAAGAAAGAGACGCCCAGTAGCAGGATAAAAAGGTGTGGGTATTTACATTTTGTTAAATATAGGGGTACTACAATATTAAAAAGGGAAATAACCGTTGCCCTTTAAGTAAACAAAAATGGAAATAAAATCCTTATTTTAGAAAGGATTTAATCAAATTCTAACAGTCACTTGACAGATGTAAACCTACAATTTAGTCTCTTTGTTAGCCAGTTACCACTGGATTTCTAACAACATCCCATCTCCTGCTAAACCATAGGCACACAGAAGTAGGGTCCTTTTTACTTTGGTACCAGTATGTTGCTATAGTATATAGCTAGTATGTAGCTATATTTTGCTGTACAATGCACTCAAAATTATTATATGGCCTACAATGTAGATAATCTATTAAAATTTTTACAAAAATAAAAAAAGTTCCATATACTTTAAAACACACCGTACCCAGTCATATGCTGGTATTGTATATCCCCAATTTATTTAAATACAATTTGCCCAGATCATTACCTGGTTTCCTCCAAGGTTTGTCCTCAAATGAATCCAAGTCTACTTCCACCAGTGGTACTCCATTAATATTTCCAGGGGCATCCAAATCCACTCCTTTAACCTTTCCTCCTAAAATAAATAAGAAGCATGGTTATTGCATTTTAAACAATTTAAGATTTCCCAGTTTGTACAGATATCCCCAATCTCATTTTCTCGTTACTAGATTCGAACAGATTTGATCTAATAACCCCACATCATGTAGGGTAAAAAAATGCTAAGAATGAAAGCAAAACAATACGTTTTGAATATATAACAAAACTGAATTCTAAGACATTTCAGTAGGGATGCCTAGTCCTGAAATAAAAGGCTAACTGTACACTCACTATTTCAGCAGATTCCTCTGAAGTATTTGGGTTGGATTTTAATACCCGAGACACATTTAAACCTTGCAATTAAATATCAATGCTCACAACTTTTGGTAAAAACCCCCAATAATAACTATGACAGTGCTATTTGAAGGAGAAGTGAAACAAATTGAAATATTGTCATAAATGGAAGACATCCACACATTTTAAAACACTAACAGGCAGTTTACATCTGGATATCAGATGTCCACTGTCAACTGAAGTTTTGTTTCATTTTAAGGGGGGGATGGAGGGGGAACAGGCTGACATAGCATTCATCATTCTGCCACGTCAAAACAAGAATATATGGTGTTAAGATGTTCTTTACAACCTTTTGTGTTTTTATTATTATTCACGGTGGCACTTTCAGTTTTGAATACTGAAGAGTGGGTGCTTTAAAATTAAGCAATGGTCAGATCATTTTTGATCCACAGGCTAGCACTCAAAAAAGGAAATAACAACATGGCCAATAAAGGGACACTCTAGGCACCAGGACCACCTCTGGTCCCTTACTAATGAGCAGGTAATTATTGCAGTTGTTAAGAGGGACTTCTGGGCTGTTATCTGAGGTTTCTCAAAAGTCACCTAAGAGGTGAAACACGTCTGAGATCTTGAGGACATTGTGAATGATTTAGTTTATTGTTTTTAGATTCTTTTTATTTGCCATTTCTTTATTAAAGCTTATACACTTAATTTTATTAACACAAGTCTTCTTGGTAAAGCATTTTTCATTTCCAAACCTGGATAAAGGGTGTTTTGTCACTCCAGAATTGGAGGTATACAGAAGAGGTTGCTGTTGCCACCAGAAAGGCAGACAGAAAACATTCAAAGGAATCTTTCTCTCTCAAATTATTATTATTATTATTATTATTTTTTTTTTACATAAACTTATTCAGACAAAATTGCACCAATATATATTTTCTCTCTCTCTCCCCCCTCCCCCACCCCCCATTGTTGAGCACTTTTGTTCATTAATTGTTTTTAAGTTTTGTTGCACTGGAAGTAAAAATAAATACAACCTGAAGGTAAAACAGAACCATACAAAGTATAAGCCAACATAAGCGGAAGAAAAACGTATTTACTTATTGGAATAATTCGATACTATATAGGTCTTTAACCATGAATTATGACTCAGAATGACACTTTCATTTAAGACAGGCCTGGAACATTGAATGTGCAACTAAGGAGTCAGCTGGAAAGAATATTTTTTCCCCCCAGAAGTGCAAGCATCTAAAAAGAAATGTCAGTGCAAGTGGTAAATTGTAAGGAGATATTCATTTTTAAGAGAGCTCAGTAGTAATTTACAATTGAAACCCTTACCAGCTGGACCATAGATTCTCCCTCCAGTTTTGATGTTCAGATTAACTGGAGCTGCTCCATAGCTCCTAAAAATATATAAAATAAAATGATTGCAAGCAATATACATTCAAAAGCGCCCATCTTTTTTTAAATAAAGAGTTACATATGTTTTAACATACACATCTTATAAAGAAAGTTTACCCATACTGTGGTGCTCCGGTTTTGATATCACCTATTGTGACATGAACATCATCTTCGTCATCATCACTGTCGCTATCACTGTCATCTTCCGTCTCAGTCACCTATGATGCACAAAAAAATAAATTAAATTAAAATCTCACTAGGACAAAAAGAAAGTTTACATGCTACAACGAAATACAACTATAGCAAGTGTCATTTTCTAAGCAGTTTCACTGTCAATTTCTCTGCTGCCTGAAACAAACTTCTAAAACGTGTTTTAAAATTCTTGAAATTTTTCCGCCATGCCATTTTAGCTACACACTGGTAAAAACAAGATACATTTCTAATTAAATAATTAGACAATTGCCTAATATTAGTTATACAAATCTAGAAAGCATAGTTACCGGTTTCACTACCCCATTCTCTGTAGTTGTCTCTGCGTCAATACTGGGGACTGGATGAGAACTATAAAATAAAGAAAATTAAACATGAACAAAGCTCTGGAAATAATCCCAATCTTAAAATTGTCCAGTGTTTAATTAAAGGAACACTAAGAACCAAAACCATTTCATTTTAATTAATCCCTTCTGCTGCAGAGACCAGTTCCTATTTCAGGACAATATAAAATATTGCGGTTCCAGAGGATTGGCAATGTTTACATTTGGCCATAAACACGCCTCCAGTGACTTTTAGGTCAACAGCCACTAGAGACACTTCCACACTGATTACTTTCAGTTACTGACAGTCTTCATGTTGGGAAGCATTAATGCCAAAGAAGCATTAATGCCCTTTTGTAAGAACTGTGAAGTACATCATGTTTTTTCCCCCATTGTCCTGGAGTTCCTGAGTACAGAGAGTATACATGCAACAGAAGTGCATGAGCCATCAGATGGCTGAATTCATTGAAGCCTATTGAACAGGCTACAGTAGAGAACATAGAACTGGGCACATGGTACAAGTTCCAAGGCAGATTTTATTGAACAGGATACAGAAAGCCAAAACGTTGCTGTACCCTGTCCAATAAAATCTGTCTTGTCCTTCATACTAGTCCTTTCTTCCCCAATGCTGAGACTGAGTGTGGTTGCCTGTGGGGGTCTGTTTTACATGGGCCTGCCCTTGTCTTATTCTATATTGAACAGGTTACGATGCAGGTGAAGTCAGGGACTATATATAGCGTGCGTGAAAGAGTTGCCATGCTGTGAAAATAACCTGAATTAAAGTTTTTCCAATTAATTGCAAGAATTAAATTATTTTTAATAGGCAATGACTGCCCCTTTAAGCAAATCACATAAGAACATAACCTTTCCAGCAGGGCTTAGATAATTTACTGCAATAGTATTTTCCCAAAATATATTCCTATCCTACTCTTTACTTATTGCATTATTTTCTATACCACTTTCTCTGATCTATTTAAAGGACAGTCACCTCAAAACATTTTAATATAATAATAATAATACTTTAATGAAGCTTTGACAGAAATATCTATATATCTCCTTTCGTAAAGATAGGGATTTAGTTTTTCCCCCCGCTTTATTTTACATGTACTCAATTATAAAAAAAAAAATGTAAAGAAGAGCGGAAAAAACTAAATCCCTACCTTTACGAAAGGATTATTATATTAAAAAAATAGTTTTGAGGTGATAGTTCTTATTTAATCAAAAGACATTCAGAGTATTGCTTTTTTTTTTTTTTTAATGGCCCCGAGTGTTGAGGACCTGTATAAGATTGGAATACTATGATGGAGAGATTTAAAAAAAAAAAAAAAAAGATGGATTTGGGAATAGTATAAGGAGCTAAATAATCAAACACCCATTAATATGCAGGATTATGGATTAAAAATGAGATAATACGAACCTTGTTATGTCTTCCTCATCATCATCCGGACCTGCAGCTTCATTTTCTTCTATTAAAAGAATTAAAAAAAAAAAATAGATGAGACAGGCAATTGGGGAAATGCAATCTCAATAAGTTTCACAACCCCCTCCCATCCCCCCCCTAAAAAGATGTGGATTGAGTTTGTGTAATACAAATTAAATAAAAACACATAGCTTGAATACACTTGGCAGCTTTCAGCTTATTGAGCAGCTTCGATCATTCGATGTCATGTCTGGAATTAGCTTTAAGGGATAGGATCAGTCCACACAAAATTACAAAAGTGAGATGTTCATAAATGAGGTGTCTGAACCTTTGTGTGAGAGAGGTCTATGTGCAACTGTAAGCATATATATAGTTTTTATTTAAGTGTTTTGTTTGTTTTTTTTGCTTTTTTTGGTGCATTACCTACACAATGCATAATTATAGGGCTACTTTTTTGATCTATAGAGCAATCTGGATGTTTCTGCAGGAGAAGCCGGATGCACGGCCAGTGGATTGAGTTTAGTCAAACCGTACTAAAAGCAAATTACACTGGAATGGTACTAGGGCACTACTGGTACCATAACCACTAAAACAGGAGGTTGTTATGGTGCTTTGAGTGTTTATTTAGCAAGCCTAAATCTGAAAAGAAATTGCAGTAATAAACCCCAAATATTTATTTCCTTTGTTCTACAAAACATTAATAGCATGACTGGCTGTGGGGTCATACAGAAACAAAACTGAAGTGGTTAGTTTACCTTTGCTCTAAAGCAACCAGAAGAGACAAACTTAATGTCAACACATATTCAAGATGCTGTTCCTTGTTCAAATTTTAGCAACAGAAGTTTAAAAATTTACAAATTTAGAACTGCCAAAAAATATATTTTTAAAAATGTACAACTTTTAAAATGGATTTACAGGTGAATTACACAGTCAAACTGTTTGTTTTGATATTTGTTGCACATCATAAAGCAGAACTTTCACTTCTCTGGATATTACACCGCTAACAGGGTTATTCAAAATGACACTCGTCACCAGAAGCACTAGAGTTTAATGCAGTGCTTCTTGTATCTATAGCATGTCCCTGCAGACTGAGCAATGATAACGCTGCCTTTTCAGAGAAAAGGCAGAGTTTACATTTCTGCCTAAACACAACGAGTGGATGCCACTCAGACAGCCACTAAAGGTGTCTCACCTACGTTAAGCATCTCCACGCTCTCCATAGGTATGCATTGATTCAATGCACCTCTGTGAGAAGATGCCGATTGGTGCAGTGTGATGGTCTGCCACACATTTGCAATAGCCTCCCAATGCTTTCCTAAGGGAAAGCATTAGATTGGCGGAGATCCTCAAGAAAGATTATCTCAGCCATGGAGACGGGCCAGCAGAAGCAAAAACTAGCCTGGTGATGGAGAAAGGTAAGTTATAAACCTTTTAATTGCTTACTAAGGGGGGCTGAGGAATCTTAACTGGTACTCTAGCACTATAGAGTTTGGCACAAATGTTTGTCATCCTGCTGTAGTGGTTATGGTGCCAGGAGTGCCTTAGTATAATTCCAGTGTAATTTTTGAAACAGTTTTAGTATAGTTTGACACTTACTTGGGACCTTTGGGCACCCGCTCTGCATCCAGTCTACTCCAGCAGGAGAAGAAGGAGGTCTCTAAAGCAGACCATGGCGATGCAGGTTTGTGCTGTTTGGCTAAAAGCACTCCATTGACACACTCAAAGTGAGGTCCTGCAAGGTTCTACAGGAACGAAGTTAGGTTGAACCCTGCACAACTAAGGTAACTTGTCAAATCATTCTTTAAAAAAAAAAAACAAACAAAAAAAAAAAAACACACACTTTGACAAATTACAAGAGCTAGAATACTCCTGGCACCATAACCAGTTCAGGCAGAAGCAGGGTAAAGAATGCAAATGAAGTAAACAAAACCACTGTTTTATTATTACATCTTATTATATTCACAGTTAGAAAAGGACAAAATCTATAATGCAGATTGTCAGGGCACTAAAATGGAGGCACCTAGGTAAATGATGGAGGGGTTATTACTCACAGAAGTTCGTTACTACAATCTGTGCTGCCAAAACCATTTATCATGAACACGGTTTTGTTATTTTGAAATTATTCAGTTATGGTGACTTTCATAGCCATTTCACGGAAATTCCTTTGCAATCAAAGCTATATAAAACAAAGTAATGGGTCCTACTTTGATTTATGGTGAAACCTGAAGTTGAAAAAGGTGTAACTTTTACAAACAAGTTTTGTCAAATTCCACAGCTACCCATAGCAATGGCAATGGGAATCCACAATTCCTGGCATGCCAATAATACATGTCACTTAGGGTTATTCGCTAAAGTCAGAATTGTGAGGAATTTAAAAAGTGAAATTCAAATTTAAGACCAAAGAAACCAAATGGCAAGTATATGTGACTGGGAGATTGTTTCCAGTTTGGCTATTTTAGCCTTAAATTTGCAATTCATTTTGTAATTTCCTGACAATGCTTACTAGTGAATAACCCTGTTGCCATTGGTATGGCAGTAAGGTCAAAAAAGCTGAAACTATTAAAGTAAAGTCAAAAAAGCTGAAACTATTAAAGTAAAGTCAAAAAAGCTGAAAATATTAAAATGTTAAATAACCTCATGTACAAATTACTAGTTTAGGTGGCCTTTTCACCATGTTTGGATGCTTTAGTGCTCCTGTCTGGTGTAAAAATATTAAAGGATCACTATAGTGTCAGGAAAATAAACTTGTTTTCCTGACATTATGTCATCCTTGGGGATCCTCACCCTCATGATCCCCCTCCCGTTAGGCTGAAAAAGTTAAAACCCCTTCAGCCACTTACCTTAATCCAGCGCCGGGCTCCCTCGTGGAGCCGAACGCGCATTCAAACAGTCCATAGGAAAGCATTTCTCAATGCTTTCCAATGTATGTTCTACACGCTGGATGCAAATTTCACATCCAGCATCACAGAAGTGCCTCTAGCGGCTGTCAAGAAGACAGCCACTAGAGGTTGGATTAACCCTTCTATGTAAACATAGCAGTTTCTTTGAAACTGCTATGTTTACGTGTGAAATGTTAAAACCCAGACCACTTGATTGAGCTGAAGTGCTTCACTGCTCATCTCTCCTGCATGGTCATGGAGGAGGCATGGCCTCTTAAATAGTCAGCGGTCCAATCTAATGCTGAACATAGGGTGTATCATATTTCCTCATAGGAAAGCTTTCAATTAATGCTTTTACGTGATCACTGCAGCAGGAGGCTCCTCCATTGGCAATCAGTATGACAGCCACTGAAGGGGTGTTTAACCCAGGAATGTAAACATTGCAGTTTCTAAAACACCTATGCCATGCCACTTCATTGAGATGAAGTGGCCTGAATGACTTTAGTGGTTCTTTAATTATAGCTAAATTAAAGATTTTATTTTTTTGACAGATTGTTATGGCTGGTCAGTCATTTGCCAAGGTCTTTGCAAATTGACTACAAGGTGTCGTGCTCACTAGGTTAACCTCTATCCAGCATGTATTGCTCTATCCGTTGGTGTTCTCTTTGACTGACCTCTTACATAAAGTGACCAAACCCTATCACTTTCAACTAAAAAAAAAATAATTTCTTGCAACCTTTCCTCCAACCTTTCTTGCTCAGTATGCAACTCAAATGCTTGTCCGTGTTTCCCACCTTGATTATTGTAATCCTATGCTTATCAGTCTGACAAATGCACCTCTACCGTCCATAATGAATAACTGCCAGACTACCTTACGCCTACTAAATCTCACACCTCAACAGCTTTCTGTTCTTTTTATGATTTGGTTCAAGGTTCTTCTGTTTACCTACAAAGCTCCATAACTGTGCTCCTGCTTACATCTCTTCCCTCATTTGAAAATATGCTCCAGCCCAGCCTATCCGCTTTGCCACTGATCTGTTACTGCTCAGTTCGAGTACTTGCATTTAGAGGGACACTCAAGACCCATAAAAAACTTTAGCTTGCTGAAAAGCATTACGTGTTGAGTGTGTACTATTTTTTCATTTTGCAAAAAGTGCAGGTTTCAATAGAAATTTACACGTACAAAACCCTGACAACAGGTCCTGCTGCTTCCTGATTTGCTTAGCTCAACTCAAGAGGCAGGCTATTGCTCAGAGTACCTGACTTCTCACCGAGCTGCACAGGCAAGTCCCTGATAAAAAAGGCAGGAGACAAGAAAACTGCAAGTTTTGAAAGCTGTTTTTAGATATACCCACAATTAAAAAAAAAAAAAAAAATGCATGCAAGTTTCCATTTGAGGTATAAGTACAGGACCATAATTTTTATTTATTTTGTATTTAGGAAGGGGCGTGTCCCTTTAAAGGGAGACTCCTTTTTCCTGGCACTGCAGGTCCCCTCTTCCTCCCACCCCCCAATCCCCGGTTGCTGAAAGTAACTTACCTGAGGCAGCGACGATGTCCAACGTCGCTGCTTCTCCCTCCGCCGCCTCTCCTCCTATTGATTGCGTCGGCGGGTTGGCGAGACTGATCCCGTCCACCGGCCATGGAGACCTAATGCGCATGCGCGGCAATGCCGCGTATGCGCATTAGCACTCTCCATAGGAATGCATTGAAAATGCATTTCAATGCTTTCCTATGGGGAAATGAGTGACGCTGGAGGTCCTCACACAGCGTGAGGACGTCCAGCGACGCTCTAGCACAGGTTTCCTATGCTATGATCCAGGAAGTGCCCTCCCCTCCCTCCCCCTCAGTCATCTACACAGCTGATAGGAAAATGACAAAAATCTGATGTTGGAAACGGCACCTTTTGGCAAGTTTCACCAAATCCCAGACCTCTCTATATGACAAAGTTGGTCCTAGTCTGTCTTAGATCTTGTGAGGGTGTTGGAATTTCAAAAGAAATGCCACTGCGCTCATCATGAGTATTTGGCCTAAAAAGTTATAAAGTACTAACAGTGTGGAGGTAGGACTTTCCCCGTTGGTTTCTATGGTGTGTATATAATAATAATAATAATAATAATAATAATAATATACAATAAAGGTGCAGTGTGTACAGTGTGGAGGTAGGACTTTCCCCGTTGGTTTCTATGGTGTGTATATAATAATAATAATAATAATATACAATAAAGGTGCAGTGTGTACAGTGTGGAGGTAGGACTTTCCCCGTTGGTTTCTATGGTGTGTATATAATAATAATAATAATAATATACAATAAAGGTGCAGTGTGTACAGTGTGGAGGTAGGGCTTTCCCCGTTGGTTTCTATGGTGTGTATATAATAATAATAATAATAATAATAATAATAATAATAATATACAATAAAGGTGCAGTGTGTACAGTGTGGAGGTAGGGCTTTCCCCGTTGGTTTCTATGGTGTGTATATATTATTATACAATAAAGATGTAGTGTGCACAGTGTGTCAGGCCTCCCAGATGGACACATGCACACAGTGACGGTGCAAGGTCCATTAGCTCCACGTCCCTGTGGTGTAACCGGTATCGGTGTGTCCTGGCTCCGGCCCGGGGGCCGCACGGTCTGACTAACTCTTACCGCCATACAGCCACTCTTCCTCCTCATCGCCGCCTCCTCCAACCGCCGCCACGGCCGTCACTGTGGGGACGGCTGCCGTCACAGCTACCGAGGCGGAGGGCGAGGCCGTGGACGGAGAAACCGCAGCGGGGGCGGCACCGGAGCCGCTCAATTCCGACGAAACCACCATCCGTTCCAGCACCTCTCCGGCGGCGGACATCTTTCCCCGAAGAGGAGGAGGAGGAAGAAAAAAACAAAAAAAACCGGCTCTCGCGAGACTAGCAGCAAAGCCCGGGCTGAAAACTAAGCCAATCAGGAAGCGCAGCTCGGGTCACGTGATACAATGAACACCCCCCCCCAGTCTGGCGGACATATTTGTTGAGGGCAATGTTTGCCCTTTGGCTGTGCTTGTCACTTTATGGGTTCAAGTTCACAACGTGGTTATTTCCCAGCGGGAATACTGCATAGTTGTGGCCTTGCTTTCCAAATGTGTTTGTTGCTTGTGCAAGTTCAGTTGGATTTTATAGCCAGGAGTAACCTAGCTCTAGCCCTCTCCAATTTCCTGTTTCTACACAAACATTAAAAGCCATAACAAAGATATAGAGCCCTTGGGGCTCAAGTAAAATATAATTTAAATAAATATGCTGGTGTTTTGGATCAAGGTTAAAAAGTAGACAAATGCCATTCACCATGTGACCTAAAGAATATCTACATTTTACCTATATGGTTTTAAAAAGTCTCTTGAATAATCCATTTGCAGGGTTATTTACTAAAGTTAGAATTGTAGGGAAATCCAAGTGCATTTCAAATCACAGCCCAAAATAGCTGAACTGGAAAAATACTCCACATTAGCAGTGCTTGTAGTTTGTCGATTTTGGTCTGAAATTCACTTTCAATTTCCAACAATTCACACTTTAGCGACTAACCCCTGTGAATCGTTAAAGCAGAAGGTTAACTGGACAGTAGCGAAACTGGTAAAATGTGCAATTTTTGCCTTAAATTTACAATTCTCTTTTTAATTCATGTCAATTAAATTTCTAGTGTATCAAAAGTGAATCCTATTGCATGGAAACAGTTTATCATCTTGGAGAAGGAATAGTTATCTTGGCCAACATGTAGATCTGGAACACCCATCAATCTATTCACTGATCCACACTATCAACTTACTGTAATGAGTGCACCCAAGATACCCCAATTTATACTACACAGCATATACAAAGTTATTCACTTTAGTGTGCATTGTCAAATATTCAGAATAAATGTAACATTTAAAAAACAATTTGGGGAGAAAAAAAAAAAAAAACTCTCCAAAAATCACATAGGTTTCCAGTTTGGCAATTTGTGTATAAATTTGTTATTCACTATGAACTCCTTGCAATTCAAACTACCAAATATCCCTAAAACCAATACTTGGTCTCTAAATATGAAGATGAAACCACTGTTCTCTTACCTGAGTTGGAGAGCATAGTAATTGACAGTATGCTCATATGTTGATTTCGACTTTGAGGCATGGCCAATGCACAGGGCCACAGAGGTTGGGGGAGAAAATCAAAGGGAATGGTAGGGAAGGACCAAATATGAGCAGGAAGCCCTGACCAATATCCAGGTCTCTGGGGTTGGAGGGAGGGGTAGGGCTTATTGGGATAGAGGGAGGTGGAAGGAGGTGAACAGCTCATTGAAGAAGGAGGCAAAGAGGGGAGGAACTGAGACAGCATACCTGTTTAAAAAAGGGCCAGGATGTCTACCAATAAAGTTACAGAGAGGGGTTGGAACTACTGATTAGGGAGATGGGAAGGGCTGTATAAGAGGTAGTTGTGCAGTATCTGAGTTGTGGGGGTGGGGAATGGCTACATGTCATTACTCAGGGCTTAGCTGGAACAGCCTACTATCTCTGGCACCCTTGTCTTATTAAGTTTTGCTCTGTATTCCCATCATTTTTGCCTCTCCCACTATTTACTGTTTTTGTGTAACTACATAGGATTCTGGGAGCTGTAGACTGCCACCATATATGCTTGGGTTCATATTATCTATACATATTGATGGGAAGAACACTGCAAGTGCTGCACTGTAAAACACAAAATCCAAATCTGAAGTGTGAATTGCCAGGAACTCAAATTGAATTTAAATTTTAGTCCAAAATAGCTGAAATGGTTAAAACTATCTGCTATTTTAACAGTTTGGCTATATAGGGCCATACCAACCGAGTGTTCCTATTTATGAGAGAAAGTCCCTATTTTGGGCCCAGGTCCATGGAGCTGAGGCAGAAGGTGGACAGCAGAGAAGGCTGATGCAGGCGAGAGCTCAGAGTGGGCTGTCGAAAAGCCACGGGTCTAAAAGGTGTAATTTTGTTATTTTTATCCCTGAGTGCCATGCTGCTGTGTGTGCTCTTCTCCCTTCATCTTACGGTAACGTGGCCAAGCAGCAGCCCTTTCCCTCCTATGATCATTGTTGAGGCTTTAGACACCTCTGCCAGACAAGTTCCTGCTGAGGTTTGAATGTTGCATTCCTAATGATACATAATATAAATAAACGCAAGACAACTTCTTTTATCCAACTTGTTTATTCAATACGTCAATATTACACCTAGGAGAATGGCCGGGAACCTTTATTATGGATTTCATAATTCCAATTTAAATATACAACCATAAATATATATCATAAAACCAATTTTATAAACCAAATCCACCCTCCTGTGATGCCCAGGAGGTTGACTTATATCCCATAATAAGGTCACGACAAGAAGGGTGGGTGGGAGCAGCAGCTTATTTATATTTAAAAACGGCCAATCTTGATAGTTGTCTGGCACAAGCTGAGGTAAATAATTTTGGCGGCTTTAAATTTATACTCCCAATTTTCCCGCTGCTGCTTATCTCGCGCTGTGATCTACCAATCAGGGAAGCCACCAGAAATTTTAGGGCCCCTAACTTAGCTCAGGGTCTGGGCCCCTTGGGACCCGCCTCCAAATACCGCCCACAGGAATACACACACAGACACAAACACACACACTGATACAAAAGGACACAGATACATACTAACATACACGCATACACACATATACAGACACACAGGCATACATAGTGACAGACTAACATACTGTCAGGGTACCTGTTGGTGATGTATCCAGGGAGGACATCCTCTCTGCTTAGGGGCTCCCTTCCCCTAGCATTTCGGCATATTTCGGCCGTTTTCGCGCCGGCCGCGCTAGCTCCTCCCCCTTTTATGACGCGACGGCTAGCGTCGACGTCATGACGTCGGCATTTGCATAAAGTGCCGGGAACCGCTATTCCGGACCTTTTGGGGGCGTGGTCTCTATTTAGGTAACAGGGTATTTAAAGGAAACCTTTACTACTGCTCATTGCCCTGTCGTGGTTCTAGCTTGCTAGTCACTCAGCGCGTTCTTTATCTTGTGTTTCCGGTTTTGACCCTTGCTTGTCTTTTGTCCTGTTGTCCTCTCCTCTCCTTTGACTCGGCTTGTATCTCGCTTACCTGTCCTCCGGCTCCCTCGACCTCGGCTTACCTTTTGACTATTCTTGCTTTGTCCTTACGTTAGTCCGGCCATTCTAAGGTCCGGTATACGTACCTCCTTCTGTGCGCACTCTGCGTATTGGATCCCTGTCAGTATCCTGACATTACGACAGGGCCAGATGGATCCTGCAGGTGCTAGTCCTCCTGACCCCAGATTTGAGGCCATGGACCATAGAATGGACCAAATGGCTTTAGCGCTACAAACTTTGTTGACACGCTCCAGTACCCAGTCTGAAGAAATACGTTCCACTGCTAGCCACTCGCTAAGTACTGGTTTGGAAGTAGCCACTGTAGGCGCATCTTCCCATGTCACGTCACCATTACGATATGGGGGTTCGCCTGATGCTTGTCGTGGTTTTTTAAACCAGATAAGTATACATTTCGAACTACAACCCCGGGCTTACCCCACTGACAGGGCTAAGGTAGGCTTTATTATAACCCTGCTAATAGATAAAGCACTTAGATGGGCCAATCCCCTTTGGGAGAATGACAATCCTTTAGTCTACAACTACACTGCGTTTGTCACGGCTTTTAGAAGAACCTTTGACCCCCCAGGGAGGAAGATTAATGCGGCCAGATCCCTGTTACGCCTTAAACAACAAGATAGGACCCTTGTAGAATATGCTCTAGAGTTTAGATCATTGGCAGCAGAAGTGAAATGGAACGAACAAGCTTTTATGGATGTTTTCTTGAATGGGTTGTCTGATGAAATTCTAGATGAAATTGCCACAAGAGAACTTCCGGAAAATTTAGAGGAAAATTTAGAGGATCTATTCTTCATTTCCAGAATAGATGAACGCATGAGACAGAGGCAGAACACTCGGGAAAGAGTTACTAGACTTCCTGTAAGACTCGCTCCCTCATTTCAGAACCCTGACTCCTATAATCCTACTCCACCAGAACCTATGCAAATAGGTAATACTCGCTTATCTGAGGCTGAGAGACAGTACAGAAGAAGGGAGGGTCTCTGTTTATACTGCGGGCTGAGAGGTCACCTACGTCTTAGTTGCCCTAATCGTCCGGGAAACGCTCGCACCTAAGTTCCCTTAGAGGACGGGCCTTGGGTGTTTCATTACTGTCCTCTATGCATAATAAAAAAGACCATAGGCTTCTGATTCCTGTCTCTCTAGCTTGGGAAAAGGGGTTTATTACTACGATGGCATTATTAGATTCTGGAGCAGCAGAAAGCTTTATAGACCAAACTTTCGCTAATAAGCATTGTATCCCATTCCAATTGAGAGATACACCCTTGGCCGTTGAGGCCATAGATGGTAGACCTTTATCTGAACCAGTAATATTCCATGAGACCGAACCCGTTAAGCTTACTGTTGGTATTTTCCACGAAGAGTTGATTTCCCTTCTGTTAATTTCCTCCCCGGCAGTCCCAGTGGTTCTAGGATATTCTTGGCTCAAGAGACACAACCCTCAGATTGACTGGGAGGGTGGAGAAATCGTTTCTTGGGGTATGGGTTGTAGGAAGGAATGTCTGCAGAGAGTTACTTCTGTTTGCCCCGTGAACTCTTATGCTAACACTTCTCAATCCACAGACGTTCAGATACCATTACAATATCTAGACCTCAAATCTGTATTTGACAAGGGTAAGGCGGATACTTTACCTCCCCACCGGTCTTATGACTGTTCTATTAAACTTTTCCCTGGTACTATGCCTCCCAGGGGTACGGTATACCCTCTATCCACCAAGGAAAACTTAGTTTTAGAGGAATATATCAAG